TTGTCCAAACTTTCATTTTAGCAGACCACTCATTGATCACATACTCTGAATTTTGTAAACCTAAATAGTCTCCATAACCATTTTCAGTCACACCCCCTGAAGCTGCTTGTTGAGTGTTTTGGTAGTATATGCTTGTTACCGTAGCAACTTAAAGAAGTTGATATAATTGTCTGAGAGTGAACAAAAAAGGAACAACTATGCAGGTCCCAAAGGGATTTTTTTTTTTCCCATGATGGCACTAAGTGTACATGAGCAGAACAGGCAAATCTCCTTCTTTTCTATCTGGTGTAAAATGCTGTCATGTCTAATAATTTAAAAGGCCTGTTTGACTTGAGCTTGAACTAGTTTATATACCATATAGTTTGCTTCTTATTTACATAAGAGCAAGGCTCTTTTGTTCCTTTCTATTCATGAGGAAAAGAATTTAAAGGGGAGTTTTCTTGCTGTTTAACAGAAACTAAGAGTAGAATTGTAAATATAAAATTAAAAGTACACTATCCTTCCACTGACCCCAAACCAATTCTTTCGAGCAGGATAAAGGGAATTTAGGTTCCCCCTTTCTACTTTTGATTATTATTTCCAACAGTATTTCTGAATGCATGAAATATTGGTCTTCATGTTTGTAAATTAACAGAGTTTGATATTTTTTGTAACTTTAAAGTTTACATTTCTGTAGCACCATCTAGTGGATCAAATGCTGTCTCTCAATTTAAAAAATAGCACTTTAGTGTAATCAAACTGTATAGCAGATTACAACATGCTCTAAGATGACTGTTTTTATTTTAAAATATGACCAATGTATTTAAATTGAGTATGTGACTATATAACAGAAACAGATGATTAGCACCAGCTTGGTTAAAAAGGAATATTGTTAAGCTAGAACTCTTAGGATGCGAAAAAATATAACAGCCTATTATATTTATCTTAAACCCTTCTTTCCTCCCCCCCCCTCCTCCCCCCAGCTCTCAGTCCTATTCTGTTCTACCTGTTATGTCTTGTCATTTACATTGTAAGCATTTTCGAGAAGGGATTTTCACATACAGTATTTTTGTATAGCACTGTGATGAGCTGGGGAATATATGTACAGCTTTTAAATTCTGTTGGATAGCGAGGGGTGCACTTTGTCAGATTGCAGACTCCATTTTGAATGGGTTAGTTTGCTTTCTCCATTTTACCTCCATCTTGGACAGAAATTCCAAGGGGGGCAGCATAGGGATAACAGTAAAGGGTCATTAACGTAAATGCTGTCCCATTGAAATGGAACCCCCTAGACAATAGGCTCAGCCTTGCGCAGAAGAACCAGTCATCCCAGGTGGGCTGGTAACTCAGTAACTGGTCACCAAGTAGGGGATTTTGATCACCTCATGAGGCTGTTAAGGGAATTACCTGGTAAGAGGGCTAGAAGTTATAAAAGGGAGGATCCCTCAGCAATCATTTTACAGAGAGAGGTTAAGAAGAGAGCAGAGATTCCATGTCCTGGATGAGACTGCAGGTGAACAGTGGGGAGAGGATGGGATATTGGACTGCATGGAGTATTCTGGCCTGTGTGTGAAGAACTTTTCAGAGTGGTGAGGAAACAGAGGCAGGGAAAACGTATATCACTGTGTACGTTGATTTATCTAGATCTATGCATATGTGTGTGATAAGTAAAGAGAATATTGTATCTAAAATCCTGTGCAAAGTTTGTCTGTGTCTGTTGGCTTTCGCTATAAACCCGAAGGCGCACACTTCTGGTGGGTTTCTGGTGAAATGTGCAAGTGCTGCTGAGGAGCCTTGGGAGAGACATTTGTTTCCGGGCTGAGGCAATTGGATCGAGGATGTCCCTGCTGCCAAGAGGGGTGTCAGACATGAGGCGTGAACTTGAAGTGTGCGCCTAGAGGCCCAAAGCCAGGAACAGTGCCTAAACTCTGCCCAGCCCCAGCAAGCTAAAGCATTTGGGATATTGAGCATTTGGGTCCCCTCAGAGCAGTCTGGTGAGTGTCCTAAAGGAGAGCTCAACCACATCTGTGAGAAGCACCTGTCACAACCGGTATTCGGTCTGACTCTGGCTTTTAGGAGTTACCACAATAAATGTTCAGTACTAGCAAAAGTAGGAGTAATAAACTCAGGCAAAATCCTCATAAAAATGGTCAGTATCTGCCTGGGTAAACACTAAGTAAGAACTTCAGTATTTGATCCTTTGAGAATATATATGTTTTATTTTATCTAACTATCCACCTTCCTGAGGTGAGGGCACATCCCTAAGCAAGATGTACACATGGCACGCGGAGTGTCCGCCAATTCCAAGTACAATTCCAGACCCCTGGAGAGTACTCCTTTGGCCCAGAGATCTGTACTTCGGGAGAGGGTAAATCAAGGGACAGGTACACCATGAGCATCATTTGGCCTTGGCAAGGCATGATGAATATACTGAAAAATTAATGCAGCTGGTGGCTTATGATCTCCTTGTACAGCCCCGGATATACCATCAGCTCTCTCTTGCTCCTTAAATAAGGTTCCTGGTTCAGCAGCAAGTTGGGGGAAGTCTGTATTGTGAAGCTATGCTGGCTTGGCGTTGGAGAAGGGAAGCAAGGGGTCCCCCAGGCCTGTGTGCAGGCACAGGACCACTCTCCAATGGCTGTGATCTCTGGCAGAAGCCCCAAATCCATAGGTGTGGTAGATGTCACATTTCAGGGCAACTGCACCTCTATTACTCCTCTGAGGTCCAGCAAGGGTAACCGCGCTCGGGCTTCCTCCTCCCCAGTTGTTATAGTCTCCCTCCATCTTGACCAAAATATTTTCCGGCTGCACAGCTCCCTACCTGTAACGTGTATTCCCTTCTTGGGGAATTCACCTAAGCAGGCCTGCTTTAGTATTCTCCTCAGTGACATTAAATAGTGAAATTGCCACAGTTAAGTTACACACTGCTCTTTCTAACTGATCACATTTATTCTTAAGTAAAAGTCTTATGGGAAAAACTAATTAAACAATTAAAAAAAAAAAACTACACTCCCTGCTGCCAACAAGGACTATGGCCAGTGAACAGTTTATCAAACCCCACCCAGGGGTTTTCCTGAGGCTACAATTTCATAACTCGTTTTGTTTAGAACAAGAACAGTCATGAATCTGAGAGTTCCTTCTATATACATTTTTTGGGAGGGTTAGATCTGTCCTCTTACAACAGGTGATCAGCAGACCCCCTCAGGGCAAAGCTTCAAAAGGTTAGTTCTTGCATAACTGGAGTAGGTGAACTTTCATACCCCTCCTCCTAGAGATTTCTAGGGCGGGTGAAGTAATATTATTACCCGTCCAGATAATTACAACAATCTATAACAACCCTGCCCCAGCTGCTTTCTCCCTCCTTTCCTCCCTGTGACTGGAATGGTGTTACCTTGAATGGTCTCTTGAAATATGTGTTAACTATTTATGCTAAACAATCTGTTCCACCTTGTATTTAGCAGTGATCCCCTGCATACCCTTCCCAAACCAGAAGAAGAGCTCTGTGTAAGCTGGAAAGTCTCTCTCTCTCTCTCTCTCTGGGAGAGAGCTCTTCCGTCGGCTTAATAACGCCACCTGCCTGAGCGCAGAAGCTATGTTGGTGAGAGAAGCCCTCCCACTAACATAATGCTGTCTACACAGGGGCTTAAGGTCGGTAAACAAAAAATCCACATCCCTGAGCGACATAGAAATACCAAAGTAAGTGTGTAGTGTAGGCCTGGAGTTTAAACTTAATTCACTAAGGTTTAAATTAATTCTGTAAGGTTTACAAAATTGCCATGCCTGTCACAGTGGGCAAACCCGATCCTCATTCAGTGCAGGGGAACAATCTGGGAAGAATATTGAGGAAAAACTTGCTAAGACTGTTTTCTCCCTAGACTTCTGTACTGTGAGTTTTTCCATGCGAGGGGGTGACGAAGGCTTGTATAGTTTTTCGTAAAATTGATTTATAAAAATAGTAGCAAAGCAAAACCGTATTAGTAACAACAGTGCTGCTCTTAACATTTTAGGTTGTTACACTTCTAAAATTATTTCAGTTTTAATTTTTCTTCATGTGTGTTATGTGGATCTCTTTTTGCATTTCACTCATTTTAGACAATGAAACTACACTGGTCAATTTCACTTAGAAATTCCCATGCACTAGCACTATTGTGCTTGAGTTACTTTGTGTCTAAAAAGACAAGGAGTACTTGTGGCACCTTAGAGACTAACCAATTTATTTGAGCATGAGCTTTCGTGAGCTACAGCTCACTTCATCTATGCATCCGATGAAGTGAGCTGTAGCTCACGAAAGCTCATGCTCAAATAAATTGGTTAGTCTCTAAGGTGCCACAAGTACTCCTTTTCTTTTTGCGAATACAGACTAACACGGCTGTTACTCTGAAACCTGTCATTTGTGTCTAAACCATCTGTTAGAGAGCCAAGGCGGGTGTGGTAATATTTTTTATTGGACCAACTTATGTTGGTGTCAGAGACCAGACAGAGCTCTTCTTCAGGCCTGGGAAAATGTCACAGCAAAATGCAAGGTGGAACAGATTGTTTAGCATAAGTAGTGAAGAACAAGTAATATCCTAGGTTGAACGTGGCTACAACTGTACTGCTTAATACCAAAGGAATTACCTTTAGTTTGACTCTAAGCTGTGCTTATTTTGATATTGTGTTGCAACATATGCCCTGCAGACAGAACTGGCTGAATTTTCAGATGGGAAAGATAACATGTTTGTTCAGTTTTAAGTCAGCAAGGCTTGATACAAGGTAGCAGCCAGTGTCCATAGCCTTTTTTATATTGTCTTCTCGCTGAAAGGGTGAAGTTCTGTTCTCACATGGCTTCCATTAACTGCAGTAGGAAATCTGAGTAAACATACTTAATATACTGAATCCTATTTTGTTTAAAACATTCAAGGATGAATCCCTATGCTAGAAAATAGCACAATGCAGTAAGATACTCTTTTAACCTTAAACCAAATAGTAACTAGCACCTTAGAATTCCAATAAAACACTTACCATTCCTTCCTCTCTCATAGGCCTTGGATTGTACACAGTAAATGCAGTATATGGAGATACCATTGTTATGCCTTGTCCTCAGGAAGTACCTAATGATCTGATGTTTGGAAAATGGAAATATGTGAGTATGGCTTATCTTGAACTTAATTATTGCCAGTATAAGTAGATTTTTTGGTGAATAAAAGTGCAGATTCAAATGTACATAATTCCACTGTTCTGCTGTCAAGTACAGTTGAAGGTAGGTAGAATTAGTTTCAAATGTGCAAGATAAATAATTATTAATTAGGGCATTCTGTCAAGCCACATTAAAAACATGCCAGATTGCCTAACTCTTATTGGTTATAAAAACCCATCTTTACACATTTGCATCTTCCTAAAGCAGGAAGTGTTTTATCCTCATGAAAAGGATCCCCAGGTTGACAACCACTCCATGCTGTTTCATGTGTCACTGTATTTTTGCATGCTGCAGAAGGCAAAGTGAGCCTTACTGGAGACCCGGGTTCTGTTTCCCTGTGCAGCTAATGGCGTGCAAAAAATGTGCCAGAAGCACAGCAGAAAAAAACGAATGCTGCCTTGACTCACTCCATGGATTTGTATTGGAAACACTGCAGAATACACAGTGAACTTCAGTATTATTAGTAAATGTCACTTTGTAGTTCAGACACCACTGTAAACTTAAAAAAATAAACAGCACAAGAGTACATACCAGCAGTGGAACCGTAGGCAGTAATTAGTGAATATGGATGGGCAGACCAGTTATGATAAGCATTGTCCCCTTTCGCCTCTCTCTAACTGAAGTCAAAATTAACATTTTTCATATTTCTGAAAAGCCTGTTTAAGCATCTCCCCTGATTTATGATCTCCATTTCCAAAGCTGTCCCCTCACTCCCCAAAATCAAAATGTTACCTGTTTTGAGGAGTGGAGGGCTGACTTGGTTCCCAGATCTCTTGCTCCGGCAGGGAATTTCTACTTCCAAGTTTTGCCTGCTCCTCGTTAATCTAATTCTCTCTCCTTTTGGTGGTGGCCAAATGGGCCATTCTTGTGCGACAAATCTACCACTTTAATATTTAAAAGGACTTGGAGTGAACTGCAATATTGTGAAATTGCATCTTCCGTACAAGATCCCATCATTTCCGTGAGGTTAACAATTCTTGCAGGAAGAAGCGAGGGATCTCAAGAGCTCCAGAATTTTCAAACCCACCTCTGCATTTTGGGATGTAAATTGCAGAGTCCTAAGCAAACATGCTCCACAGAAGAGAGGGTTAAAACACTTCAAATAAGCCTACAAAAGATGGCCAGAATTTTGTTGAAAACTCCTTCCTTCCTTCTGCGCCTTTTTCTAGAAAGACAGTTGCTGCACTTGGTGAACTTGCAAAACTGTTTTGAGAGAGAGAAATCCGGCTCTCTTCCCCCAACACCCAACCCCATTGCACCAGGGATAGTTACTAATCAACAGTGCAGAAAAAATTTAGAAGTTGCTGATTGCTGTAGATCTGTCACACCTTTCCTAAACAGCCACCACCAAGGGTCCAGGGGGAAGTGACATATGTTGTGTATAATAATTTGTACAACCATAACCAGCTAAGATTTTTAACATGCTAAGTACAGCCAAAATATATTCCATGTAACCCCCTGTTCCCTGGCCGCCTCACATGCCAATAATTTTCTGTTTGTTTTTCATCTTTTGTAAGACATTTCCTTTCTTTGGAAGCAAGAACAGCCTTGTCAATTTCTGGTCATGCCATAGACGACTTATTTTATAGACTGAGAGGAGATTTCAGTTTCTACTATAATATTCTCGGGGTGGCCCTTCCAAGTCCCTGGTATAGACTTCGAAACACTCAGAGAGGAGTCTGTCTCCAGAGAATCTACTGGAGATTTTACATTGACTTCGGTGCATGCTAGGGCAGAATATTTGTGATGTGTGAATATTCATGCATTGCGGACAGGAACAACAAAGCTCACAAGCACTATGCTACCAATTCTTAGTGCTTTGATTTAAGGAGATCTCGGTTTCCTGGAACATAACATGAAGAATAGTCTTTCCCTTTGCTTTTATGTAAAGGAGGGGAGGGGAAAACAAATCTTGCAAAACACAGTTTGCAATTCTGCATCTTATGAATATTAACTTTCTCTATGGCAGCTCCATGTAAAGTTTTCCTTTGATATTTTCCATTTTTTGATAGCAACTGCATACTGATTAAAGTGAGGAGGATGTCTAGAAACTATTTTGCAGGTTATTCTGAAACACATAAAGAATCTTTTATTGTAGGTATATTCCCATGCTTAGAGACCTCTGGATGCTTTAATAAAAAGAAACTAAAAACTAATTTAGAATAAAATGGCCATTTTTGCCTGATTAAATCCCAGGTTGGGAACTATATTTGAACATCCCCGACGAACAATACAAAATACATAAAAAACAAGAGACTAAAAAAGAAACTGAAATCTTGAGTCTAACTTTGGATGCCTCTGATATTTCATATACCTCTGGTATGCGGAAATGCAGCTAATTCCACAGCCACCAGCCTTTGTCAGAGAAGGTCCTTCCTCATTCCATGTCAGTATTTTACCCCATAGCATGGTAATCCATTCCAGAGCAGCCAGTCCAGCACCCAGTATGCTACGTAGCACAACAGACTGCCCTTCAAATGACAGATCTTATCATCACTCTTTGTACTTCTGCAGCACTGGATCAATTGATTGCACAGCAACTGGAGAATACCCCATCCTCTTCTCCCCGCCCCCCCCCCACCCCAAATCAAAACAAACTTTGTAATCCTCCGAATTATGTCTGTTCGCATCATTTTAAACTACATATTGGCTGGATAGCAGGCACCCATTGCAGATCTTGGAGCACTTCTAAATAAGTCTTTGTGTTCATGGAAGATGAAGCATTTATTTATTTATTTATTTTACTTCATTTTAGGAAATGGCAGACACCTCTCCAGTCTTTATTGCCTTCAGGTCAACAACAAAAAAAGGTGTACAATATGACGACGTACCCGAATACAAAGGCAGATTGAGTCTCTCAGAAAATTATACCTTATCCATCAAAAATGCAAGGATCAGTGATGAAAAAAGATTTGTGTGTATGCTAGTGACCGTGGACAATGTGTATGAAGAGCCTACAGTAGTCAAGGTGTTCAGTAAGTAACAGCTAGCATAGCTACTAATGTGGATCTCCAATTAGAGAATTGCTGTTGAAAGATGAAAGCAAAAAGAGTTAAAAAAAAAAATGTTAAGCAGAATCAATGACTAACATTAGCCAGTTTTTGGCAATAAAAAGTCCTAATCTGTCTATAGCATTCATGTAAGAGGATTCTCTGTTGTCTTAGTATGTCAGCTCTGAAAAAGAGGAATTTCAGGGCTTGATAATGAATCAATTGTATGCATAAACTACATCTCTTTGCCCCTAAAATGAAAAATGTAAAAATAAGACTAACGGGAAAATTTTCACTTACTCTGTTAGTGAACTTTTCTGGGAGTGGGGGAAGTGTTAAGTGATATGTTGGAAATGTTTGATGGTAGTATGTGAGTTTAAAGAAATGTATTTAAATGTCCTCAAGAGCCTGGTGCACGCAGATAACGAAACTTAAAATAAAGGCTTAAAAACAGGATATTAGCCAAAAGTCATATTTTTCTCCTCTCTTGAAATGTCAGCAACAAAGGTGTATTAGCATTATGATTTAAGGCTTGACACCATAAACCTTACTATTGAACAAATCTGTCTAAGATTTTCAAAAGTAACTAGTGATTCTGGGTTGCTAAAGTTTTCAGAGTCCAGGATTTTCACAGACAAGGTGCTTGGTAATTTTTGAAATTAAGGCCCCTTTAGGATTTTTGACATAAAACACGTAAAAATTGACAGTCAGCATGACTAATCACTACTGAAAATCTTGTCCTTAGCATTTCCTACTGTGAATAGACTCACAGAAAACAGTGGGTTTCTCCTCCATACCCAACCTCAAAATCTTCTTTTGCTTCCTTGCCTTTGTGCACTCAAGATGCATGTTTAAATAAAGTTTACACAGAGTAACTCTGTTGTCAGGAAAAGTTGAAAAGTTATGAAAAAGATTACTTTTTGGCTCAAAGAAAATACATACTCCACCAAATTTAATGATGATCTTATAACTCAAGCAGGAAGAAGGTGTGAGGGATTCTTCAGTGTTGTTGTCCTGGTATCTCATAGCACAATGGTGTCAGTGTCCCGGTCAGTTTGAAGGGGATTGGGAGTCAACAGTAATTTACTTCCACTGTTTTATTTTGTTGTTTGACTACAAGGACAGCAGGGATAAGTGTGTAGAGTGCTTGAAATGAAGTGATAAAGAATTATCCTGGTTATTTATCAAGAAGTAAATATGTAGATAAGACTGTATTATAGAGTGGTTACCAAGTGTTTGAATACCAAGTGGTTGAATTACTGTATATAGTTCTACTTCTAAGGACTACATGATGTTAGTTCAGCCATGTTCCACATCCTATACCTTTTATGGCAGGGGTGGTCAAACTTCTTGGCCCGAGGGCCACATCTGGGTGGGGAAATTGCAGGGCTGGGGCGGTGAAGGAGGAAGTGCAGGGTGTGGGAGGGGGTGCAGTGTGCAAAAAAGGGCTCAGGGCAGAGGGTTGGGGTGCAGGGTGCAGCAGGGGGTTGGGGGCTCAGGGCAGAGGGTTGGGGTGCAGGGTGCAGCAGGGGGTTGAGGGCTCATGGCAGAGGGTTGGGATGGATTCGGCCCACAGGCTGTAGTTTGCCCTCCCCTGTTTTATGGCATTAATTAATTAAACTTACATTTGGCAAGGAAAATAAGAATAGAAAATGCTGAATGGGTAATGTTGCTGAGTTAACATTTCCAGAAAAACCTTTACTTCAGACTTTTTTTTGAGTGATTTTACAATTTTAAAGTTCTGTTAACACGTTTTAGCATTTAATTTCCCTGGTTGGCTTATTTTAAGGAAAAATTAAGATTTGTTGGCAAGTTGCACAGGTTCAGCCAGTAAAGTTTCTAAATTCTTCAAACGGCTGAACTGCAGCTGTATGAATGCCAAGTAACCAAAATTCTTGGTTATCTGAAACTCAGATCTGTCCCTTGAGGTTTGACTGAAGTTCAGTTTCTGTGGAGCTTGTTACATCCTTAGTCCTGAGTTAATCAGCTGGTGCAGCTAACAAGGTGTATTGGCTCATTGCTCAGATAACACCTGCTAATAGCCCTCATTGGATTGTTCAAGTAAGAACCTCTGCCAGCTTTCCTGGTGGATCTTTTCAGCATCTTCATCAGGATCTAGATAGCCAAAATTTCCAGAGCATACTGGCTCCACATACATTAGCTCCTATCTCCTTGCACAGCGATTTGGACTCTATAGCTAGCAAGCAGAGTTAATGTGCTTACAGAGCTGTAAAGTTGCTATTCTAAGCCCCTGCAGCCAGAGATAAGCAGTTTGCTGAAGTTACAAGCCCCACCAACCTATGCTCTGATGCTATTAAACTCTTGAGCTTAAAATTTCCTTCTGCTTCAGCAGATGATCTTCTCAATGTCTGGCACCCAATAAGTGTAAGCACAGTAAATTAATCTGTTTGCACAGGTTCAAGCCTGTTGCTATTCCTCCTCATCTGCCACAGCCTCTGTGTTCAGTCAGTGCTTAATTTGCAATGAGAGAGGTGCTGGGGCTCAAGCAATTTTTTTACTTAACTGATGCGTCAGGCCTAAAGGTGCCGGGGCTATGAACTGCTAACCCTAGGGGTGCCGGGACTCAGCCCTGGCACAAATTAAACATGGTCTACACTGCAATTAGACATCTGCAACTGGTCTGTGCCAGCACACTCATGCTGTGAGGCTGTTTAATTGCAGTGTGGACATTCCAGCTCAGGCTGTAGCCTGAGTTCTGGGATCCTCCCACCTCCCAAGATCCTAGAACCCAGGCTCCAGCCCGAGCCTCAACGTCTGCACTGCAATTAAAAGCCCTTTAGTCTGAGCCCAAGTCAGCTGGCATGGGTCAGCTGTAGGTTTTTAACTGTGGTGTAGCTGTACCCTGAGTGGGCAGGGAGAGCTCTAAGCAGCTCTTCTGTGCCTTCTCCACTGCATCTGCTCAGCAGCACCTCCTTTCGCTGCCTCCCACCTCCTCATATGTGGGTGGACAGAGCATTTGCTCTGGCTCACTGCTCCCATTCCAGGTAGTGAATACCCCCAGGTAACCCCAAAGGGAGCAGGATAGATGGTTCATTGTCTCTTACTGAACTCAGAGAGGGGAGAGCTCAGTAAAGGGTGGATAGCCTTCCTTAAAGAACAACCAAGTGCAGTCATGGGGGAAAAAACATAGAAAGAAAGGAAAAACAAAAAGACAAAGCAAACTTCAAATTTGTTCAGTTTATCAGATGGCTGGCAAAATGATATAAAAACAGCCATTTTTGTTGATGGGACCTGTTTGCATGGGATGAGGGCAGTTTAGGAGAGCTGATTGTGGTTCAGGTGATGGGCATGAAAACTTATTGTCCCTGCAAGTGTGTTTGGAAAATGGGTTAATCTGTTTGTTTTAAAACAACACACCGTGTTTATGCTTCTAAAATACACTTTCTTCTGTTCTGTTTTTCTGCCTGAGAACAACATGAGGCTTTTTGAGCCCAGGGTTTTTGGTGCATGGCTTTGGTATTTTATTTGCCACTGGCAAGTTGTTTGAGAATTCCAAATAAATAGTTTACTTTATTGCTTTTGTTTTTTTCTTTTTGATCGTCTGCTTGGACAAATCTTCTAAAATGCAGGAAATTGTGTCTCAATATATGAAGAAAGAGACTTAGAATGGAAACTTGTGCAAACTTAGCTACTGCTGTAGTAGGCATGACAAGTGTAAATGAATAAACTTTTTATTCTGTTTTTTCTTTATTTTATATTTTTAAATTGTGTGAAGAGAACTTGGAACAGGATAGCAGGGCACTTGGTAACTTTCCAGATTACTAGCATTGTTTGATAGGTTTGATTTGAAAAAGTTTCTGTAAACTGAAATGTGAAAATTTGGAGAAAGTTTCAGTTTGTATATGTGTATAAAAATGTCTGCTTATTTAGAAGCACAGCTGGAGTGCAGAGACTTTCTTTGACTGTGTAAATATACAGACTTTGTTTCCTTCAAACTTATAGGAAAACAGTCTCTTGGAGATAAAAATTTGCATTCCAGGCTTTAGGCCAGAATGAATTTTAACATACTAGTTATGTAGTCTCTAGAAAATCATGTTTTTATAATGGAAACGCTGATGGAGCCTCAACTCTAACAGGGAAGGGTGCAGCTACCATAAATAGGATGATGTATATTGCTACTGAATAGAAAGTTTGCTTTTAAAGAGATGCAATCAATTTCAAAATCTAGTGAGTTTTGAAAAATAAAGTAATTTCAGATACTACTTTTGCTTCTGTTATACTAATCCCAGGTGTTACTTAAGTGTAACAATAGTATGGGGGAAAAATGAGAAGTGAGATTAAGTTGAGTTTCTCAGTTTGAAATATTAAAGCTAAACTAATATTGTGTTAAAACTTCTTTTGTGCCACTATGTTTTCTATACCACTGTTTCCTTCTTCTGGAAATGTATCATGTTCATCAGTAGGCTCTCTCTCAATCTAGGTTGTAGCATTCCTGGCCAAAATATAGCATGCCAATATGTGTAGCATAAATTTACACTAGTTTTATATTATGTAAAATGACATGTGTAAAGTGAAACCAGTAACATGATTATCTCTCCTGTTAAATCTCGTGAGATTTTTTTTTCCCCTCCAAAGTCCATTTGCCAATATTTTGTTAGGAGCAATTTTTTTAACAGCCAAGGAGGGTGTAAACCCCCAAAAGACAAGGTTTCAAATGAAAAGTATGATAACTCTGCAGCTCACCAAATAGTTCTAATGTAGTTGCTGATGCCATGTTGCTGAAGAATGTTAGTCCTTTATACAACAAATTGAAATTCCTGCTCTCCTTTCTCTTATACATATTTTTTGTTTATAGAACAACCATCTCAACCAGAAATTATACATCCAGCAAACTTCCTAGAAGCGGAAAAGTTTAAAATGGTAAGAGCATTTTTCTTAATTTAAATGCATGTACCTGGAGGTGAGTTTGGAGCTGTGCCGTCAGCAAGATGGAATATTCTGTGTGTGTTTTCTGAGCTAGCAATAGTGGGATATGGGGAGGATTGCTCAGGACCTAGTCTGAGACTATAGAATTTCTGAAACCATTTCTTGAAAAACCAGTTTTCAGCTGAATCAGGAATAACAGCAACATGCTAGAAAGTTACAACTAGCCCTCCCCATATCCAGAAGAATGGGTCCAGCTCTATTCTGCCCCCTGCCCGTAAGAAATACCCAAGCATCATTTGTCATTTATCCTTCAAAAAAAATCAAAGTTTTGGATTGTTTGTACTTTCCTGAGACTTTAACTAATCATGTAACTAAGAGTAACCCCATAAGCATAAATGAAGGAGTAATTCTATCAAAATGTCAGAGGACAAAACGTTTGATATTTTTTGTGTGTTCTGCAGCTCGGGGAATGTATTGCAAGAGATAGTTATCCAGATGGCAACATTACATGGTACAAAAATGGAAATATTTTGCAGCCCGTTGAAGGAGGTATGTTTCAGTAACGAACAGTGAACCTGATCCTATAACAACCTGCACATGTCTTTACTTGTTATTCATATGAGTAATCCTATTTAACTTTACTCATATGAGTAATCCTATTTAAAAGGGTTATTCCATGACACAAGCTATGCATATGGGGGAAGGATTGAGGATTGCAAGATTGAGGCTTAAAATTGTGGGTTTAAATATTGTCTTATTATTGCCAAAATGTTAGATGTATCTTTCTGAAGGATTTTTTTTAAAGTAACTAGAAAATTAATTAGAAAGTGTTTGGTTTGTTTTTGTCTTTTTTTAAATGCTTATGGGATTTTAGGACAGTATTATTTGACCGGGAATCATTGTTGGGGTGTTTTTTCTTTGTGAGCCAAAGTGTCAGGACCAGAGGATACAGTCTGGGGTGAATTTGGTTTATTGTATTGCTTGCTTTAAAATTCATGTCTTCTGCTTAGATGCTGAACAATAGGTGCATAAAAATCATTAATATACAAAATAAGAAAAAAACCCAAAATTAGGAAAGGTTGTATATACTAAGAATGACATTGAAACAAGGTCTCCTTTTCAGTTGTTGTCATGAGCTTACAAAAGGTCGTGGACCAATCAACTGGACTCTTCACAACGACATCTTCTCTCCAGTACATGCCGACAAAGAAAGATGCAAATGCCCAGTTTGCCTGTAGCATGACATATTACGGACCATCTGGACAGGAAAAAATATCATCTGAACCAATGGTCTTTGATGTTCACTGTAAGTTGTTAAAAACTGGGTTGCAGAACTATGTTCATAAATATGATCTTTCTGGGGAAAAAAAATCAGTCTACCAGCAAAATTGCAGGGTCACAGACTTCCATTGATAGCAAAACCCCTTACTAAAACTGTGAGATAAATCAGAAGAATGATGCTCTTTTTGATAATAGGATTAATACTTTTTCAAAGTTGATTTGCAGTGAAAAGATTTAAGTCAAGCATACACTGTATCCATTTCAGGATTATGAGTTTTATTTTCTTTTTTCAGTGACATTAGATTTCTGAATATTAAGATTACTGTTTCAGGAGGAAGAGTAGCAGCTAAAAGAATCTTATGATGAAATGGGAATTTCAAGTCCTCATAACAAACTACTACTAAATAAGCTGAATTAGAAGTTTTCATAGAAGCTGACTAGAGTTCAAAAATATTGTGTGAGAATTAAAGATAGTCTTCTCATCTCTCTCTGCCCAGTGAAATATGCAGTAAATATAAACTAGCTCACCTCAAGATTGGTATACTAAGGTACCCAAATGTTTAGAGTACTTCTTGAGCACAAAAACATTGTGTATCTAAACAATACAGTACAATGTCATTGCTTTTCTAATACAACACTGCCCAATCAGCTCTGTAGTTAATGCTGAATTGAGTTTTACACTTCAAATGCATTTGTATTGCTTTTTTTTATAAAGGAGAAGTTATGTAGCTAATAATATCCAACTCATCGAAATACAAAATTTACTTGCATCTTATGGTACAATAGAACCCTCATTGAGCAAAGAAAGCAGGCAATAGACCAGGAAATAGTGAGGAAGATGTTAGCAACTGTCGAGCGCATGGCAGGCCATGTCAAAGAAGTGAAGAGAAACTTCTCAATGAGCATAGAAGGTACCAGGTCTTAGTAGAGAATTGAGGAGAAAAGATCACTGAAGAAAATTTACAGACAAAACTGTCTTTTCCTGTATACCTTAAATGAAAGCTCAAGTCCTAAATAAAACCCTTCTGGTTTAGGAATGCTTCTTCTGTTCAGGCATCTCTCTGTTTTATGTGGCTTTAACTACATAAGTTTATGTGAAGTAATGCATTTGTATTATTTTCGTGAGTTACAATGACTGCCACTGAGAGAAAGTGATCACTGAAACCAGTAAAATGAATACCAAAAAAAAAATTGACTAGAATTCTTCAGGTGCTGTATAATTTAGTATGATATTGATGCTGTTTGCTGCTACTAGAAAAAATAAAAATCTTATTTTCCTTCAAATCCATCTAGTGAAGATGTTACAACAAAGAAAAGATGAAATACAAAACAGATTAAGTTCAGTTGCTTGGCCTACAACAAATAAGGATTCCCATTTCAGACTGGGTAAAGCAGCCTTGTGCAGCTGGCATTTCTGAAACATATTAAGATCTTTCTAAATTTGCGAAATATACATAGCAACTTAAAACTCTGTACCAACTTTAGGGCCCAAAAATTCAAGGTGCTAAAAGCTCTTAATGTTGCTGAAGCTCAGCACCTCCCAGGATCAAATCATTGTCCATGCGCTGAGGGCCCAGTCCTGGCCACAAGAACTTCCACCATGTGAAACCTAGAGCAGCAGCAATGCACAGCTGCTCTCTGCAGTCATAAGAACAGCCATACTGGGTCTGACAAATGGTCCATCTAGCCCAGTATCCTGTCTTCCAATAGTGGTCAATGCCAGACCTTGAACAGAACAGGTAATTGAGTGATCCATACCCTGTCGTTCACTCCCAGCTTCTGGAAACCAGAGGCTAGGGACACGCTAATAGCCACTGATGGACCTATCCTCCATGAACTTACCTTGTTCTTTTTTGAATCCTGTTATAGTCTTGGCCTTCACAACATCCTCGGAAAAGAGTTCCACAGGTTGACTGTGCATTATGTGAAGAAGTACTTCCTTACTGCCTGCTAATTTCTTTGGGTGACCCCCTAGTTCTTGTGTTATGAGAAGGAGTGAATAACACTTCCTTATTCACTTTCTCCACACCAGTCAAGATTTTATATATCTCTATCATATCCACCCTTTTTTCTAAGCTGAAAAGTCCCAGTTCTATTAATCTCTCCTCATATGGAAGCTGTTTCATACCCCTAATAATTTCTGTTGCCCTTTTCTGTACTGTTTCCAGTATATCTTTTTTGAGATGGGGTGACCAGATCTGCATGTAATATTCAAGATGTGGGGGGTACCATGGATTTATATAGAGGCATTATGATATTTTCTGTCTTTTTATCTATTCCTTTCCTAAATTATTCCTAACATTCTGTTAGCAAAGGGGCAGAGACATTTTCAGGGACAATGACCCATTATCCAGAGAAGAGGAAAGCCGCAGACTGAGGCAACCATCTATGGCTTACTTGGCTGCCTAGCTTCTAGTCTCTTCTGGGGCAAAGTCTGTGGAGAGATTTAGAAAGGGAACCCAATTCTTGCCGTCCATTCACGATGCATCAATGCATTTTAATGGAGTTATTCCTGATTCTCACCTGAGTAAGAGATTCAGAGCTCTGTTCCACAGACTAACTCTTCCAAAACAGCCAGAGAAAATGACAAGGAAGAAGGCCATTGGGAATATCAGCCATTACTCTTGGAAGTCATTAAGAGATCCCATGTCCACAAGCACCCACTCCATACCTATAAAATTCAGTTTGCTTTAATTTTTGGTCTCTAAAGAGCAGACATCTAATCTCATTCTCTCTCGCCCCACTCTCCTGCAAGACACAGGAATTGCTGCAACTCCAAGATAGCAGTAATTCTCACTGCCTCCACAGGCTCACTGGAGGATCCAGGATACAGTGGGCTCTGATTGAAAGGAAGTCTGGTAGTGAGCTATCTTGCATGAATCTCCTGTCTCTTCAAATTGCTCCATAGCTACTGCTGGTTAAGCAGTTATGCTGTCCCCATCGCCATGACCACTTATAGACCCCAGGCCAGCCTACTCACTGTGGATCTGGTTTGCCCAGATCCTATTCTATCCTGTTCTCTCCGCAGACAATTTAATTAAGGTAACTTCATGCACGCATCTCTAGCTTCCTCTAGAGACATTCAGTTGCATTGCTAATTAACTAACAGTGGGAATTGGGCATACCCTTGATTAGTGAAGAGGAGTACATGGCATGAAGCTCCGTCACCCTCAGAATGAAGCATTACTAGTTTCCTTCTGAAAATACCTTTAGTCATTTAACATCAGTCCCTTGTTCTTTACAAATGCATCTCTAAACTGAGATCCTTATAATCTCATTGGAATAGGTGTCTAGAATTGCTTTGAACAGATTTCTCCACTGCTGTTAGGTGAAGTTGTTGATGGTGAGATACAAGTGTTTTTCAAATGTGTCAGTAATCCTAATTAGTTTCTATCTCCTTCTTATTAATTATTTCTTTAGCTGAATTTAGTGCAGGTTAAAAAAAAGACAGATTACAGCTCCAAGAAATGGAAATCTATTTATTTACCTAGTCATTTGCATTCAGCTGTATCACCAAGCTCTATCATTCCTTAAATTTCTAAAAGACACTTAATCAGAAAATAACACAATACCAGCTGTTCAGTTTAAAATCAGTGATGAATCCCACTCATCAACAGCTGCAGGGTCCTCCTGAATAATCAGCCAGTTGTTTTTTAATTATACCCTATTTATTTGGTGATAAAGCTTGACTGCTGTGTCCTTCCAACAACACAGGGAGAAGACATGCAAAAATCCACTCCCCCGCAGGCTTATCATTGGCAGCTAGTGCTGTAACCTGCTGGATATCTACCAATGCCCTAATTATTGCACCTGCTGAATACCATGCAGCAGCATGGGGCTCTAGTAGTCACTTCAGCAAGTTGGACTCGGTGATCTGCTCTGCCCTTCATATCATCACTGGTGCAGCCTGGACAACTTGAGGCTCCAATTTTCTGGTCTTGGCTGGCATTGCTCCCCCAGCAATGAGGCATGCAGCCAACCACCAGGACAGCTTACTTCACAATTTCATCTCAAAGCTGCACCAAGAATGCTGGCTGAAGTCAAGACGCCCCTTTTCCAAAATAGTTGAGCCTCTCAGACAATACATCAGAAATTACATTTCTAAGGAATTGGGGCAGCAGGCAGTGCGGGACTATATTTTTGATATCTTGGCAGATAGACAACTCAGATCTGTATCTACTTATTTCTTTAGAGGAGCTCTTGCATACTCCTCAGAACAACCAGATGAAACGAAAGATTCTTCTTTGTTACAACAGGATACGTTGTGATCATGGGCAGTTTAACGTATATCTTTACTGTTGGGGTTTCTTGATCTCACCATCCCATCTCTGTAGACCTCAAGAACAAGCAGCATGCCATCTGGCTATGGACTGCACTCTTTACCATCTTGATGTGGGATGGATGTGCTCAACATCTCCACTTGATGCTGTGATAGAGTGGTTACCTCATATACCAGACATCCGATTCATTCTTCGTGCTGCCAGAAGCTATATGCCAGAAGAAGAATCCCACTCCCAACTCAACTCCATAACAAAAATACACCCAATTTTGTCAAAAAACCCACCACCAACAAAAACTCCTCCATTAAAATGAGACCCAAAATCTTTCAAAGCCCTGACCATATGGATAAATTTAATGCAGAGCTCTGAAGTTCTTTACATTCAGTGTCCAGTGTGCTGTAGGGAGCAAGTTCCAGAAAACAAGAGGAAGAATTACTTAAATGATAACTCCCGCAAAAGAACAGTGGTAGAGATGTGATCGCTCAGATGACTAAATAGTTTAGGGCTTCATAGACGTTGAGTTGAACTCAGAAGTGGAGAGTCACGGAAGACTCACCAGTTGGACATGAAAACTTTCCTACACTGCCTCACCAGCATCCATCAGACTTGTTATGGAAGAACTGTATCTCTAGGTTTGACAGGGTGGTTCAGACTCCGCATCTGTTCACTCGGCCTCTTCTAAAGCTACCAAAAAAGCGTGTCAAGGTTGGGTGGGGGTGGTGGTTTTGTGATAGAATGATCAGGATAGGTTACTGAATGGCCGTGTGAAATGTTTGGCTATCAGTATCCATTTCCAGACGTTGGACCTTCCAAATGCAGGTGCAGAGTGTTACTTGCACAAGGTAAGGATGACCGGGAGAAGGGGATCCTGACCTAGTGAGAGGGATAATGTGTGGCCAGCAAGTTAGGGCCAAGGATTCATAATTTAGAAGGGACCATTGGCAATTATCTAATCCATTGGTTCTCAGTCTGCGGTCCACTTGCAGCACAATCATCACACAGCTGTGGCCCATATGGCATCCTCAAGGCCATATAGGTAACACATATATTGTATGGATGTAGCCCACACAACACTGAGAAAGCCGCATATGCGGCCCACAGTGGTGAATAGGTTGAGAACCACTGATTTAGTCTGACCTCCTGTATAACATAGGACTTGCCTGAATTAATTCCTATTTGAACTAAAGCATACCTTGTGTAAAAACATACACTCTTGGTTTAAAAATTATTAGTGACTGAGAATCCAATACAGCCCCCTTGGTAAGCTGGGTAACTACCCTTACTGTTGTGTAGGTAAATGCTCCCCGCCTTATCACCTTCGCATGTTATCTTAGGCTTGGTCTACACAATGATTTAACTAAATCAGTTAGAGTAATAGATTTAGTTAAACTGGTGCAATCCCCTTGTGTGGACTTATTTTAACTTAGCAGTAATCTTTTTGTCTGCTGCCAGCCTAACTAGCTAAATCAATACAAGGTACCCCTAAATTAAAAAGGGATCTTGCAAGGGAATTGCTTCCATTTATCTAAATCAATTTCTAAACTAGTTTGTTTAATTTTCTCTTACAGACAAGGCCTCAGAGAAGTATTTATCCCAGGCTCTCCCCTCCCCCCCCTTTTTTTTTTAACCTGGCATTCGAGTAAGAGAACAGCCCCACAAAAGTCTTGAGACTTCCCCTCAGTGTGGTGGACTGTCTAGTGCAGCAATCACATATAGTCTTTCACCCTCACTTGTGTCAGAGCCCACGACCCTTGTACTTCCTGATCCATTCAGTTTTCCCCTTTGCTGAATAAATAGCATTGTCAAATGATTGTTCATAAATATATATATAAAATTTTAAATTATAACTAACAATTCTACCATGCGATTTGTCATTTAGAACAAACTTACCCATTTTTGTCAACTAAAAGGTAGGTGCAACACTCCCAGTGCTGAACAGAGATCCACCAGCATGGACTTTAGGGAGTCCTAATGAAGGCAGTGGAGGTCCGCCTATCCTAATGCAAAAGCAGCACATGATTAGAATACAAAATATTATTTAAATTAATACAAAAAGTTATCTATCCATTATTTTCTTTCATTAATCTGTCCCATTTTACTCCACTTTTGAAAATTATATTTAACATCCTTCATAGGAGGAGTAACCTATAATAGAGAATCTCTTAAAAAGTAATGATAAGATTTTAAAAAATTACCACAGTACAATATGTTATCGCTCAACCCTATTTAACATGACAGAAATATTACATTTACAGCTTGGTTGACTGTGTTGAGTCTTAAGTTTTTACCAAATTCTTCTTTCTGCAACCTACTACACTGATCAGCATATAGAGGAGCCTTGCTATAGTTGCTTAGCTAATATTTCTTTTTATTTAATACAAGATACTATTATCTAATTAGTGCAGGGGGCTGATAGCTTTAGTTATGTTTGTGGCTGCTGTAGTCCCTTCAAACAGCAAGCTGCATATAGTGCCATTAAGTTTCTCGTAATGAAATCATACTGTGAAATTGTTCCTACTGGTCTTTTTTTACATGAAAATAATTATGGTCACTCCTGCTTCAGTTATAGGCATTTTGCTAAGGAAAACTTGATTTTTATACAGGGTTTCTGTGTAGTTCATTCTAATAGGATTTGTACTCAGTATGGACGAGTACCTGTAAGCTTCATTCCTTCTATTAAAAAAAAAAATGCAATTACCTTCACCTGCTTCTGGAGAAAATTGTGTATACTTTGAACATTTACCCTGTATGCATAGTTATCTTGGTACTTGACAAAAACTATTAACTTGTGTCCATTATTTTCACAGATCCTACAGAGAAGGTGACAATTAAAGTGCTGTCACAAAGAAATACCATCAAAGAAGGTGATAACATCACTCTAAAGTGCTCAGGAAATGGTAACCCCTCCACAAGAGTTTCTGTTTTATATTCCAGTAAGTATTACTTTACTGTTGTTACTTAGCAATAATAGTCTGTACTATTTCTTCCTATTATTTGACACCAGAGGCACCCACGCTGAACCAGTCTAACTTTACCTTACCATGACACCAAAACATACTTTATTTTACACTAGGCAAAACCCCCTCGTGTCCCTCCCCTCTGCCCCTCTCCTAGTCAGCTCCCCCTTGAAGGCACTCATGGAGCACCCCATACTTCTAGCAGGTCATAAGCTGCTGCTGAGCAAGTCCTGTGAGCAGAGCAGAGGAGACATGAGATGCTGGAAGTGGAGCGAGGCTGGGTACGCTCCCGTGGGGAGACCGGATTCAGGAGTTGGACCCATGGCAGTGGCCAGGAGGAGCTGTGCAGATCCATCTCACTGCCCATGTCCCCTGTGTTGTGATGGGGGAGGAGCACGCCGCAGCCAAACTTGAATCAGAACAGGGTGGCCAGTACTGCTCCTCCTGGCCCATGCTGTTGGGATGGCTCCTGCACCAGTACCCAAATCAGGTTGCCCCTCCCCTCAACAAATGATGCCCTAGGCATCTGCATAGGTTGCCTATACCTTATTCCAGCCCTGCCAATGGTAGGCACCATGCGTAAAATGCATATGGCTGTGGGTGCTGCTGTTCAACACTAGTTTATCTCTGGAAGGAATTTATAAATGCTTATATAACAAATGAAGGCATCTGATGCTATTAACCAAGTGAAAAGCTGACCTTGGCAAGTTCAGGAAATTTGCTGAGAGGATACCAGTCTGGAGCCTGCAGAGAATCTGTCAAAATTTAGTGAAGATTTTTTTTACCCTCTTCACAGATTAACAATCTTTTTACAAGAAATATATGATGGAGTGGTGTTCATAGAAATGCAATGGTGAAAAAGGACCAGAGGAAAACAGTTTAATTTACTATAATATGAACAGAGTAATCCCACGAGAAAAATCAAATAAATGTAGCAGTTAAGGTGGCAAAATCCTATCTAAGATTTAGACCTTTCTCTGTAAAGTATATTGAGTAATTAATTCCTGTAGTGACAGCCTTCAGAAGAACATTAGAATTATATGGTGAAAAATAGAGACACAATTTATTAATAGAATTTTTTTTAAATTGGGGAACAAGATTTATAAAGAATATGAAAATTAACTACGTGTTAAAGGGCCAAACATTCTTTTCACATGAGTTTAAAGTAATTTCAGGTATTACACCTGCCATTTTTCATGGTTTCACAGTCACATCTTCCTGTATTTATTTGATCTTTACTCTGTTGCTGTGTGAAATACCAGCACAAACAAGGGTTGACGGACAATACAAGGGAACAAATCAAACAACCTGCTGTCAAATGCAGAAAGTAAAAATTGAAAATGAAGTTAACATTTATATTATAGTATATATTAGTTATAGTAATCTTGCAATAATAGGTGAAATATTTTCAGACAGAAATGTGATTATCTGTAGGCTGACCTTTGTTTCCTCCTTTCTTTGTTTCTTGCACTTTTCCTGTGTTTTCTGCTCCCACTACACCATGAGAACCAGTTTACCTTCAGGACAGGAAGACTGTGTGCTTCCAAATAGCTCCAGACCACCAGTTGCTTTGCTTAATAACCCGCAGCTACTTTGGACTCCTCTCCTTTTGCAGCTTGCATTGCTTCAGAACTGTGAGGGGAGGCAGGGTCTGAAGCCACTCCTCTACCTCAAGCTGCAGGTGAAGCTGAGTGAGAGTGGAACTGATGGCCCAATCAACCCCCTTTTAAGCCACTCTAAGCAGCAGTTGTAGCAGGGGGTCCGGGATGGGGGGGAAGAGCCATAAGTGTACCAGAACTCCACCTGTTCTGTGATGAACATGGGTGAGCTAAGGGCCTCACTTCACATGAACTTCAGCCTCCTAATTACATCTACAGCATTCTCTTGTTTGAGGGGAGCTAAAATTAGTGCTGTTTGCTTAGGCGGTCTGTGTTATGGATCTAACAATGTTTGTGATACACTTCAGTAGTTAATGTTATCCGAAATGCTACAAGTTTCAGGAAAGACATTGTTCCCCCATCATAGTTTCTCTTTGCAAAGTTATGATTATAAAACATTTTGTTCTGTCTCAATGTAATCTTCCCTTCCAATCTTGCTGTTAAATGTCTCAGATTTTGTATTTTTCTAACATTTCTGAAAATCATCATTTAAGTTGAATGTTTAAAGTAAAACTTTTTTGTTAGTGACTTTGCAACTGTGCAATGCCTGCAGTCATGCAACAAAATTAAATCTGTACTGTACTCTGATGTAGTTGGATTTCACTGGTGCTGAATGTATGTAGATTGTGAAGCACTTCAGGATGAAAGTTGCTTTATAAAATATTGTTCAAAGAACATGTGACTCTCCTGTTTTTAGCAACTCTCTATAACCCATAAATGTAATACTTCCACCCACAGGGAGAACCCGAAGGTATAAGAAGCTCAGATACTTACGTAATGACAGATGTGAGACGAAATGCAACAGGAGAATACAAATGCTCTCTGATTGACAGAAGCATGGAGGACTCAACCACCATCACCGTTCACTGTAAGTCATTGTATTTTTCATTTCCAGAAACAATTCAAACATCTTACAAATTCTGGGCTAATCCCACCTTGCTTTACTCATATGATTAGTTCTAATGACTACATTAGAACTGTATGCAGTGTGGTTGTAACCATGTCAGTCCCCAGATATTAGAAAGAAACAAGGTGGGTGAAGTAATATCTTTTATTGAACTCAGTCACCTACAGCAGAACTGAGCATGGAATAATTGCAAACACTATTTGATCCTTTGTCTTATTTTTTTCTAAGTGCATTTTTATTAACTTGATACCTTTTAATACCACTGTAATTCAATGGATTAAAACAGACTTGCAAACTGTGCTGACACTCTGCAACTTGTCAAAAATACGTTTGCTGGCCGTGATAACTTATGTATTTTAATACAAAAATTATTGTATGAAGGCACTGTCTCCAAATCTATTTAAATTTACAGAAGCATCATGTGGTCCATTATTATGTCAATCAAAACCACAGTTCACAGGAATTTCCATTCTAGATCATACTAGTCCAATATCCTATCTCAGACAAGGGCAAGTAGCACTTACTTGAGAGGAATGTGCTAGGAACCTTGTAGGTGGACAATAAAGGATTAACTATATCCATAGTGGACATTTCTCCTTAAAGCAGTCATTTAGTGTTTGGCTTATTACCTAAAGCATAGGAGAGTTTATATCCCTGTGGATTTTGTCGTTACCTATAAAAAAAAATGTAACCATTTTTTTGAATCCTGTAAACTCTTGACCTCAAATTCTTGTGGCAATAAATTCTACTGGCAAAGTAGACTTTTTTTTTTAAAGTATTTATTAGTTTTAAATGTGTTGCTTTTCAATTTCATTTACTATCCACTTGTTCTTGTATTATGTGTAAGGATAAAAAGGAGCACCTAGTTTGCATTCTTTACAATATTTATTATTTTAAATACCATTGCCATACCACTCTTATTTGTCTCTTCTCTAAACTGTCTCCATGCTAAAGTATCCCTGTGCTCTTCCCTCCCCCCCACCTACACACACACACTTTGCATCCCTTCCATTTCTGCTCCACCTTCTTTTAGATAATGTAACTGGAATTGAACACCGTATTCCAGGAGATGGTATAATATCAATTTATATCATGGCATCACCACAATTCCATTGTTCTTCTCCGTCCTATTATTTACGTATCTTAATATGTTTTGCCTTTTTTTCTTTTTAGTGCTAATGCATAGTGGGCAAAGGTTTTCATTAATTATCTCCAGGGATGCCTAGCTCTTTTTCCAGAGAGATTACAGTTAATTTAGAAATTACTTATCTGTATGAGTAATTCAGACTATTCTTCTAATGAACATTATCATACATTTAAGGAAGACTTTCAGCATCTGCCATTATGCTGTCCATTCACTGAGCTTTGCAAGGTCCCTCTGAAGTTCTAAAATATTAAAGGGTCATCTAACCTGTAAAATTTCTTGTCACCAGCAGTTTTTTCCATGTCTCTATTCATACCCTTTTCCAGATTATTTAAATTGTTTTGTGACTTTTAGTGAGTTCCTGATCCATGACATTATTTCTCATTCTGTGACTACTTAATTTCCTCAATAGTCTTTTACAAGAGAGATTTTTTTTCCAAAGGCTTTTTAAAAAAAATCCAAATCATTTTTATCAGCCAGTTCTTTTTATCCACTATTTTGTTTACAGGCTGAAAGAATTCTAATGGGTGGGAGAAGTCATGCTGATGTTGGTTTATTACTATCATTAAATGTTCATCTTGGTGTTTTATAATGCTGCTGTTCAGATATTATTTCATCCAATTTCCTGGTACTTAGTGAGGCTTGCTTGTCTAACTCCCAGAATCACCCGAGCATCATCTTTAAAGATAGGGGCAACATTTACTGCCTTTGTGTTTCAATATAGTAGCTGATGTTAATGAGTGCATATAGTTGTCAAGAGCCACTTCTTGCAGAATTCTTGGATGTATAGCATCAGGTCCTGTTGTTCCTCTTTAATTTAATGTAATCAGTTTGTTCCTGTATCTGTTCTTTTGACACCTCAATCTCTAACGTTGCTTCACTTTTATGGTTTAAAGATTATTGGCCTAAGGTAGAAATCTCCACAACGTGTTGTGGTGAGAATTCATGTAGCTTCTCTTCCACAGCTTTCTCCTCTATAATTGCTCGCTTTACTTTGATAGTTCAGCAGAGCTGCTGCTTCTACCATTGCTTTCTGCTTCCAATATACTTGTATGTTTTCATGTCTTTACCTGTTTGATCTTCAGATTCTATCTTTGCGCTCCTGACTTCCATCTCACTTTTTAACCTACCATAGTTTGCTTCTTTCTGTAGACTTATTTGGGGAGGTGTGGGGGGGGAGGGTTGGTTTTGTTTTTTAAAGAATGCTTGTATGGCTCAAATTCTTCAACCTGTCCATTTAACTATATTTTTCCCCCCCTTTTTGCTTCTCCTGTCATTGCAGGGGTGTGCATTCCTTTCAGTGATTCAATTATGGTATACTTAAGTAGTCTTACCGCTGAGGTTAAGGATTTATTTACTCACTTTTGAGGTTATAATCTTAAGGAATAATTAGTAGAAAATACTTTTTCCATCCATGAATTGATATATACCAGATTATTTGGGTTTTTTTTAAATAGATCTATATTTCATTCATAATAGTGGGTGCCAAACAGACTTTTTATTGGGCAATTTGACTGTATTGGTCTCTTACAGGTGTTGGGTTTTGGAAAACTTCTTGCTGACACTAAAATACATTACATTACCGCTTTGCAGAAAATTATGATGCTCTATGGAAAACACAAAAACATTAAGTGGAAAGTACATTGTGAGAGCCATATAGAGCTGAATATTGATATTAAAACACCTTAATTTTGGTTATGCACCAAATTTAGGGGTATATTATGTCCATACAGTAAGTGTGCCAGGAAGTGGGGGACAACACCAGAAGAAGCCTCCTCACCCACTGACCACAAGGACTGCATGAAGTTAGCACCAACAATGGTATTTGCCTTCTCAAGGGAAGGTGGGACATTTGTGGATCCATGGTCCCCATCAAGTGACCAACACAGCTTAATGGGGCAGCGGAGAGTGCATGTTGTACCCTGTCACAGGCTAGTCAGGTGTCCTCACTGTTCTATGGAGTTCCAGGAGACACTGTTCCCACTTGGAACACAATGTATCCCTGCACTCCTACTGGTGTTGCTTACCTCTGTCCAGCCTCTTATGTCAGACTTAAAGGATTCTCTTTTCTGCTGAGGAATGTGTGCTCAAGCTAAATGAAACTTTAGAAATCAAGGAGTTCTGCTAATAGAATTTATCCTTGTAAACCAACATGATTCTAGGAAATCTATAATCAATTTTAGGCTTCTAGACTGCAAGAAGATCATTAGTTTTTTGTAAGAGATGCCAAGTCAAACATTATTAAAAATCTAAGGGAAATTATCTTTCAAATGATATGACAACCTTCAACTCCCAGTAGACCAGAAGGAGTTCACACTGGAGTGTTAAAATATTCAGGATGCCAGAATTACATGACGTACTGCACTTAACCCTCCTGATTACAACACAGAGTTCAAATCCAGTCTTGCACTTCCTAGTTTTCTGACTTGAAGTTTCCCATTCTGTTGTGACGGTGGAACATCTCTCTAGTATTTCCCACATTAGTTAAATGGCTCTTATATCCTCAGGTGCTGTATGGTGGTGTAATGACGTGTGGGATGTAATCCTCACATCTTTACCATGCTACTTCCTATGCAAAGCCAGTACTGCTATCGATCCAAGTCTTCCAGGTTACACTAAATTAGAAGTTGGTGTGTATTAAATATGGCACCTACTGTGGAGTTTGTTTTTAATGACAAATTAATGAAGGAAGTTTTAAAGGCAGAAAAGAGAAACCCGAAGCAAGTCAGTGTAAAAGTAGAGTATTTTAGTAATTTTTTCCCCTCTACAGAGGCAAGTGTATGCAAACCTTTTTCATACTGCCCTGCTCAGTAACATCTGTGCCAACAGATGAAAAGTAAGTGTCATGGTACATAAGGAAAACTGGTGTATGCAGAGAAACTGTTTACCCCGATGCCCACAATGATTTCTGAGGGAGAATCCTCTGCCAAATGTGAGCTTGTCTCCCAGCCCATTCTATAAACACCTCTCAGGGCTTTGCAGTTCAGAAGTAAGATCTTAAGTCTCGTATTCACTGCAGTTTTCCCCCAACTTTGAATTATTCATAGCAATATGTGAGAAGGGTGGTGGCCTCTGTTCTTTCACTGAAAAGGGAGAGGCCCTAGCATGAGGAGGTCTGTGTTTAAAGACTGCTCTGGTCAGAGTGTCAGTCTTGCCTGAGATGAAGGCCAAGAATGTAATGAGTTCTTGCTTCCTGTGACAAGATTCCTTCCTGAGTGGTGGTCTATGATCTCTTGAGTCTGAGTCAATATCCTGCTTCAAAGAAATAAAGGTTTGAGTAGACATTGAAGGGGAATCACCCTGAGGAAGAAAATTCCATAGCCTCTCTACCCTATATTAAGCATGTGCTCAGAGAATAGGAGGAAACAAGTTGAGTGAGAACTAATCCTCCCTTACCGAGGTGAAGCAGCAATCTATGCAGTTGCTCTGTGTCTGAGTCATTGTGGGGAGAACAGATGATCTCCTGACATATCTTACTGAATCTTGATGGTTTTGCTTTTGGGGACATGCCCTCTGGAAGAGGGAAACTAAATGATACTGATCAGGCAGTTGTCTCTCTTTGGTTAGGTCTTTATACGTGTGCCTGCTGTCTGAAGTAGCAAGTGAACCAATAGAGTTCATGTAACCACTGATAGTAGAAATTAGGCCTATATTAGTAATAATGCCGATATTATTAACATTTGACAATATTCATTATTATTGCGAGATGGGCCCAGTCCTCTCTTTGATGCCTGCATCCCTTAATTATTGTATAATGCCCTTTCTAGTGAAATTGGTGAATGAAAGCAGCAGAAAAGTTGACTCTTCTGTTGAGTGAATTTGCAATGAACCACAATTCACTGGTTTAAGCAATTCTAAGATCTTTAGTACTTGAGAATATACAGATAGAAATTCTCTATCTGCATCATCAGCTGTGTCTCAGGTATGTCTAAGATGACTGTTGCTGTAGTGTCTGAGGATTTAGAATCCGGAAGGCAAAACAAGTGGATAATAAAGGGGGCATCTCTTATATAGATTTCTTGATTGCCTGTAATGATAGGGAAATGGATAAAGAAAAAGTAGGTGACAATTTAATTAGAACTCCGTTAGTTGCCCGAATGTGATAGTGGTATTTTAAACCCTTTAACGCAACAACAACAAAATCCAGTAAATTCAATACCGCCATTTTCATGAGAATAATTATATAGTACTACAGAGCTGGGCAAAAATATTTCTTGTCTTGTGAGTGTCCTGACCTAGAAAGAACAAAGTGAGACTTTAGGGCTCTGGCCCTAGGAAAACAAACATTTAAAAAACCCTTCTTTTTGAGGTTCACCCTCTTGTGTCTAGCCTGGCTTTTTTTCCCCCCAGCTGTTGTTAAGATGGTAGGATATGATATGTTGCAGTGCTTTTCCAGAAAATGCTGTGCCATGATGGGATTATAATCTACTGTGGTTCAGAGCTTCACCAGCCACTGATTTCCATACATGCAATTTTTAGGATGACTAGGCTTTTTGGTTTGCATAGTAAGATGCTAGGAGGTGGGGATGAAAACAGATATTTAACTGGGTGACTTCCCTATTCTCTCAACATAGGATTCTGTATGCAAAAAACAAACAGTAGCATCTGGAGTTGCCTAGCATTTGAAATGTCTGAGACCTTATGGCATATGTAATCATATAAGAAGTAAAAAAGGCAAATGGGCATTGGAAAGCTACATAGTAGTTGATGAATGAGTGTGTTTTAAGTTAAGAAGAATTCTTAGAAACAAGAATCAACTAATAGAATATATGCTGCCTCCCTATCTCTGTGACAAAGGCCCTAACCCACTCCTCCCACTAAATTGCCAAACCTTCCTGCACCATCCTCTCACCCAACCTCTCCAAACTGGGGCAGCTCTTCCACACCTCTTAAGAGAATCAACCTGTCCTTTCTACCAATTTCAACAATTCTCTCCCTTGTCCTCCTCTGTCCGATATCCCTAGAAGCAGCTTCTAAAATTCTTCTCTATCCCTCAAGACAAGTCCTCTAATCAGATTTCCACCCCACTCCTAACAAAAATCCTCCTCATTCCACTCTGCTATTCTCTTTGCAAAAACCTCTCTCCCCTACCTGGACAACATCTCCAGTTTCATGAACCCTCCTGGATCATTTTTCCAGCTGCACAAGATGGAAAAACGTCTGTTTATTAGCTGATCTGTGTCATGTTTCACTTTGTTAGACTATAATTATAGTAGATATGCATATTCTGCATTGTGTTCTTTCAGGATCATTCTTTTTATCTGTCTCACTTAAAGAACTGATTTAGATTTCTTTTTTGAGCAAACAATCTACGTTTTATCAGTGCAATAAGTCCACTGATTTCTTTTTTCTGTAAACCCTCAGAATGGTTCACTCTTCTGGTATTTATCTTTTAACAATGTTCCTTTTATCGTAGATTTGGATTTGTCACTTATTCCTAGTGGAGAAGTTATTAAGCAGATTGGAGAAGCTCTGCCAGTATCATGCACCATCTCTTCCAGTAGAAACGCAACTGTGTTTTGGATAAAGGTTAGTAATAATTCTTGTTAATGCCTACTCACTTTATTTGGTTACCTGTTAAGATTTCTCCCTCAGTGTTCTGGGAAGAATCTTTTTTAAAATTGATCTTTTATAAGCAATGACCACCTAAAATATTAACGTGGACATTTAATACTGTACATTTTTGGACCAATTTGCATAAGTTTTCAAAGGTGACTAGTGATTGTGGATGCCTCACTTTTTTGGTGTGCTACTTGACACTTTCAGAAAAATAAAGTGCTTTTAAAAACTTTAGCCACTGTCTGAAAATCATTCCCTTTTAAGGTGCCCCACTTCGGCACTGAAAATATTGAGGTCGCTAGACACACTAAACACAGCCTATATCTTCAGAAATTATGTTTTTGTCATGTTTCCCATAAACATACTAAAAGGACAGCATATGTTGGGGGGGGGGGGGTTGACGGGATGTTTCAGGGCATTGGTAAGTGAGAAAGTTTGTCAGAGAGTGTTCAAATCTGATCCTGATTGATAGACCACAACCTAATTTGACTGGTCAGTGGCTTGTGTTGAAAGAAAGTGTCCATTTATCACCACTGTTACCAAAACTGGCAGCCTCTGGCCATCTTAGTAGGCCATCTTACTAGGGAGGCCAAGGACAGAATAGACTATGGACACCAAACTATCTTCTGATCCTCTCCTTCAAAGCTGGGACCTATTGTGGTGGGCAAGGGAAGGTGGCATAGGTAAGCTTGCAAGCATACTTGCCATGCTGTCCCTGTTTTGTATATAAGTAGATCACTAAAGCCTGCTGAGCTCTCCATACAGCACTGTTTAGAAATTGGAAACCTCTTTTTTCATACTTGGCACAGCTGTTGCTAATTACATTGTCAAATGCTGGGTTTTAGTTATTGGATGGACGGTTAAACATTAGGAAGAAAAAAATCAAATGTACAAATACCAAATAGGGAATAACTATTTGGCTAGGTGGTAATACTGCAGAAAAGGATCTGAGGGTTGCACTAGATCACAAATTGAATGTAAGCCAATAATGTGATGCAATTGTGAAAAAGGCAAGCAACATTCTGGGGTGTATTAGCAGGAGTGTTGTATTTAAGATAAGGGAAGTAATTGTCCCCTCTATTCCGCTCTATGGTGAGGCCTTGGCTGGAGTATCTAGTTTTGGGCACCATGCTTTGGGAAAGATGTGGACAAATTTGGAGAGTCCAGAGGAGAGCAGCAAAAATAAAAGGTTTAGAAAACCTGAATCTTGAGAAAAAATTATGAAGGGGGCGGGACCTGATAGGTCTTCAAGTATGTAAAGGGCCATTGTAAAGAAGACTGTGAGTGATTGTTCTCATGTCCACTGAAGATAGGAATCTGCTTAATCTGCAGCAAGGGGGATTTAGGTTCAATATTAGGGAAAAAAAATTGTAACTATAAAGGATAGTTGAGTACTGGAATAGGTTCCCGAGGGAGGAGGTTGTGGAATCCCTGGTCTTTGAGATTTAAGAAAAGGTTAGACACCTGTCATGGATAGTCTAGGTTTACTTGCCTTGGTGCAGAGGATAGACTAGATGATCTCTTGAGGACCCTTACAGCCTTATGTTTCTATGATTAAGGCCCTGATCCCACAAAGCATGTGTGGAGTTCCACTGAAATCTATTGCAGTGCTTATTTATAATGAGGTTGATGAGAGACTCTCACACTTAACTTTAAGCATATGCTTATTTGGGTTGGGGCCTAAATTGGAAATTATGTGGACTAACTTCTTACTTTATCAGGACAATACCAGAATGCAGACAGATCCATCATTTTCAAGTCTACAGTACCAGGATGCTGGAAACTACATCTGTGAAACTACTCTACGGGAGGTTGAAGGGTTAAAGAAAAGTAAAACACTTACACTTATTGTGGAAGGTAATGGAGCACTTAGTTATGCTTTGTTAATACTGTAAATTGTACAATTCACAATTATTTTACCATAGTGCTTAAATATAATAATCTTTTAGGAAAACCTCAGATCAGAATGACAAAGAAAACAGAGTCAAATAAATCTAAAACAATAGTCTGCCACGTGGAGGGTTTCCCCAAACCAGCTGTGCAATGGACAATTACTGGTACTGGAAGCATCATAAATAAAGCAAGTATTTTTCTCATTCATTTATGCACAAGATTAAACTTGATAAGTTTATGGAGGAGATGGTATGATGGGATAACATGATGTTGGTAATTAATTGATCTTTAAATATTCATGGTAAATAGGCCTAATGGCCTGTGATGGGATGTTAGATGGGGTGGGATCTGAGTTATCCAGCAAAGAATTTCCTAGGTATCTGGCTGGTGAATCTTGCCCATATGCTCAGGGTTTAGCTGATCGCCATATTGGGGTTAGGAAGGAATTTTCCTCCAGGGCAGATTGGAAGAGGCCCTGGAGGTTTTTTGCCTTCCTCTGTAGCATGGGGCACGGGTCAGTTGCTGGAGGATCCTCTGCTCCTTTGAAGTCTTTAAACCACAATTTGAGGATTTCAATAGCTCAGACATAGGTGAGAGGTTTTTCGCAGGAGTGGGTGGGTGAGATTCTATGGCCTGCGTTCTGCAGGAGGTCAGACTAGATGATCATGATGGTCCCTTCTGACCTTAGTCTCTATGAATCTAAGTATTAGTGTTTGAGGTCTGGAAAACCTTACTGACTTTGAGGGATTAAAGAAAACAAATATGCATGCATGGAGATTGGCAGTGATAGTCCTCTGCATAGCATAGGTTGGACAGCATGCACGAGCAGTTTGCATTAATTTCTTATGGTCAAATATTACCTTCAGTTATACCTTCAGTCTTACTGAAGTCAAGGAGGTTGCACTAGACGTATATAAGGGCAGAATTTGGCCCTTAGCTTGCAGCTTCAGGGCGTGGATCATGTCTTGGAGATATATAAATAACTGACTATTAATTTTGGGTGCTCTTTTAGTTTATTATTTTAAATGGTTCCCTTTTTCAAAACTGTAAGATTTTTAAAAGGTATTTACTTCTAGAACTTTCCTTATGAACAATTCTAGTATGACATTACAGTATACATTTTTTGTTCGACTGATTTCTTTTCCTTTCCAGACAGAGGAGACCAACTATGTTAATGGAAGATTTTCCAGTAAAATTGTAATTTCTCCTGAAGAGAATGTTACATTAACTTGTATTGCTGAAAACCAACTAGAAAGAACTGTCACCTCGATGAATGTCTCTGCCAGTAAGTGTCTTCAGTTAGAAGCATTTCAAAAATGAGCAATAGAAGTGGTTTCCTTAAAGTTTCAAATGCCTTTTGCCAGCTTTTCTCTCTAAATAATGTGAGATGCTGATCGGTGCTGCAGTGGTATTAGAGGGTTGTTTTTTTCCCTTAAGTTCCACATCTCCTGTATTAACCGACTTTAGTCCTCCAACCCAGCCTAGGTTGGTAGTGAAAGAAATTTGTTACTAGCGAATGGCTGTTCGGTGGCCTACAGTATGTGAAAATGAGTTGTATGATTTCAGTACAGTTCAAAGTGGACCAGTGTGCATATCACAGAAATCACAGCAGTGCTGACTAGCTCTCTTCTTTTAGCAGAAACCTCCCCTCAAACACCCATACTTGAACCCTGCAGGTTAGGGTTATGGCATATTGGCAAGGGGAAATAGGCCATGCGCTGCCATGGCTCATGATGCATCTGCTTTGGGGATAGTACTTCAGACTATCTATATCCTATCCTTCTCATTCATACACATTATAAAATTACTTTATTATTGAAATATCTTCTTTTCTTAGTCTCTAGTTTTGTGGGGTTTTTTATTAACTTTTTATGTGATTTCAGAACAGAATCCATTCATAGGTGCTAGGGTTTAGCGGACTACAGTAATGATAAAGTGGTAAAAAGTTACCCTATCATGAATGCTAACATATAAATGCTTAGTCAGAAGTATTCATAAGATTAAACTTGTCCTTTTTTGGAATAAAACACTTTTACATGATGCATTATGGATATAAAGCAAGGATTGCTGCCTAAAAAAATAAGATTAATTATTTTGTTGTGTGGCTGATGCAGCATTAAGTATGAGCATTTCGGGTCTAGCTGTAAAATAGCTCATTATATTGTTAAATATTACAGTATAATGTCAGGGTGAAGGTGACTTTCAGGTATCAAGTTTTTGTTTTTAATGTTTTTTTTATTTCAGTAAGTATCCCAGAATATGATGAGCCAGATGAAAGGAATGGTATGTAAGTGCTATAGAACCCTCTTTCTATCTGCTCTAGCTTTATGAAGTGTCATTGAATGAGTAATTTCCACAGTCCTCTCTGCCTTCAGAGTTCAGTTGAAATTGCCCAGTCTCAGAGGCAATAAGAATTAGACCCTGTTAAAAACTTTGCTTAATAGCAATGAAATTTTGCATGTTATCACAATGCTCTAATAGTTTTGACTTTTTGACCACCTTTCTTGCTGGGGGCATTACTTGTATAGAAAATGTTTAATGCTGTGTATTATTGTTAGACACCTTAACAACTTTTCTTCTTTGTTTTAGGTGACAACAGAGAAAAGGTTAATGACCAGGCAAAGCTAATAGTAGGAATTGTGGTTGGTCTTCTGCTAGCAGCTCTAGTTGCTGGTATCATCTACTGGGTATATATGAAGAAATCAAAGTAAGACTTAATATAGAAACTTGCTCTTAACTTTTTAAAATTAAAATAATGTGTACCTATCTGTTTAGCTCCCTACAGCATTTTGAAAATCTAGGGGCGAGAAGTTATCCTCATTTATAAAACTTATTTTGCATCTGAAATTAAAATGAATATCTTAATATGGAGGCAGTGTATCATCTAGGGGTTAGAGCACAGGCCTGGGAGCTAGGACTCCTTAAATCTGCCCCTGATTCAGCTGTGTGGCCTTAGTCAGGTCACTCAGTGCCAGATTGTGTTTCCATTTAAGTTAGTGACGCTTTTCCTATTTGACTTAAGTGGGATGTGGTATTTCAATTTCTGAGTCAAATGATGGGCTGTCACATCTGTGCAACCTCATGGATGGTCAGGTGAATTCTTAATTAGAGAGAGTATGAGCTGGCCAACTTCTCCTACACTACCTGAATTTTATAGAAGGGTAAACAGATGCCAACTTCACAGGAGTATGTGAAGCTCAATTAAATTGTTCATATAGTGGTTTGAGATACTAATGAAGGAAGTTGTATTGCTTGAAAACTAGACATTGGCAGGGCTGACTAAAAATCTAGATCCAGAAGGTAGAGTCTATGTTGTGCCTATTAGCTCTGCTCATTTTCAGTTAGCTGTATTTCTGTACTAATGAAACTATCTGGAATACACTGGACAGTCTTTGAAATATCTTCCCCCTCATCCTCATGGTTATCAGGTCCCCTAACCATATCCAGCTTGCATCTGGTTCTGCTGAGTGTAGTCTTAAACTCTTTTCCCCATACATAGACTGTGGCCCTGTCAGGTGTGAAAGTGCAGACTTATGCTACCCCCATGCCTTCTCAGAGATTCAGAGGAGCTATCTGATTTACAGCAGCTGAGGATCTGGCCTACACAGCACCAAGATCATTTATAAAGTGTTCTGAAAGTGAAGGTAGTTATGTATGTTGTGTACATATTTATATAGACAGACATGCAGTATTAAAGTTTACTTGTATTTCCCTAAAACTTTGCACATTGATTTGCAATAGCTATATAATATACATATTCTGAGTTTTGATATGAAGAATTGTTTCTCATTCAGTTGCCATACTTACAAGGGCTTCCCTCATCTATTTCTGGCATTATAAAGTGCTCCCATGAAGTCTTTAGATTTTACTTCCATACAATACCACAAACATAGCTGTGCAGGGGATTTTTGGAATTTCCTGAATAAGGAAGCTTTATAAACATATGACTGAGCACAGAAATATTAAGCATGTGCTATTTATAAAGCTTCAGGAAATAAAAAAAATTAAACTTCCCCACCACCTTCAGTTATTACTAAACAAAATGTCCAGAATTTTTCTTCTCTCTCTCAATGGGGAGTCCAAAGCATGAGGTAATGACTCATTTGTGGGGGGGAAATGTGATGATTCTTAGAATGTGGTGTGTCCTTTGCTGTGATGTGTTTCTATGCTTTATGGTGTTAAACTTTATTTTCCAAACTTTAGAAATTAAACATGAAACAAAAGGCATAAGAGAAATGGGAATATCATTTATACTTAAAGTAGAAAATTAAATTAGCAGTGAGTAGATAGGCTCATTGGGGACCAAATATTTTTTTAAGTTATGTTTAAATCATAATCAGTCTGACAGTCACTAGTTTCTTAAAAAAAGAGAGTACTAGTGGCACCTTAGAGACTAACCAATTTATGTGAGCTGCAGCTCACGAAAGCTTATGCTCAAATAAATTGGTTAGTCTCTAAGGTGCCACTAGTACTCCTTTTTTTTTTTTTTTTGTGAATACAGACTAACACAGCTGCTACTCTGAAACCAGTCATTAGTTTAAGTGAATTATATTGCTGACAAGCACCCACTTTCAGTATACATTTATATTAACCTGGTCTCCTCTCCCTTGGGAATCAGTTTCCCTGTTTTCTGCATGCAGTACTTCCAAAGAGCAAGCAGAGCATCAGTATGTATGAAACAGAGGATTTCAGCACAAACAGCCCATAAATCTCAAATGCTGTCCTCTCAAAAACACCATTGCAATACTTATTGACACTGTGTGTCCAATCACAACCCTCCGTTTCCACACAGGCCACTCCCTCGAACAGTTAGTCACTTTTTGAACCCACCCTCGAACAGTTATTCACCTAATCTCTGCCCCCAAAGTGACGTCAATGGAAAGTCTGAGAAGGCAGCAGCACAGAACTTTCAAACCCTTCGTGAGGCAAGAAAAATGTTTTTTTTTCATTAATGTATGTTGTGGTTTGTAGAATTTTCTATTGTCTTGTGATACAGGATAGTAGGAATTGTACTCACGGCCTTGGAGTGTATTCACAGTAACTCGCTTCTGTAGCTATTCATCACCTCAGCTTCACTTAATACAAAAGCTGATTATTGCCACGTCCTCTTCACCAGTTCAATGCAAATTAATTAGCAATCTGAGTAAATTGCCAGTGCAACCCCCAGCTAGGCAAAGTCTACATATTCTTGTCTTCATCTCATATTTTTAACTCTCTAGGGAATGGTTTTTACATACATATCATTTAGAAAAGAAATCCAAGTAGTGCCTCTGTTTCCCTTCACTCAAACAGAAATCCCGAGGGAGAATTTGCATTTCTAAATAAATTAATTAAATCTTTTGTCCTACTTTCATTATCTGGGATTGGGAATACACAAATTCCAGGTAATGTTATGAACTAGTTTCCACTGATTTATTGCAGCTTTAAAATAAAGGAAAAAACCTGAAATTTGGCTGAACATTCAAACTGCAGCAGTTTTTACCGTGATCAGATGCACACAGAATTGTTGGAACCAGTCAGCATCCTCAGTCATTCTGAGCTAATTGCTAACCTCTTCCCAGACTGAAATTTGTCATTGAATAATTAACAAAAATTTTACTTTTTTGTTATTTTGTAGATGGTTAGTATGTTAAAACCAAAAGTTGCACAGTGTGTTACAGAACCCTCACAAGTGCATGTGTCTCATATACTTACAGTTACAAAGGTCACATTATTGTAAATGGGGGAGACAAACGGGGAACGAGCTGGTTGTGCTCTATATTTAATGAGTATAGTCTAAATCAGAGAATAACACTGGAAAATTATTTTTTCACTAATTGATACTACTTATTCCACAGTGATCTCTAAATTAAAAAAATGTTTGAAAGCGATCTTCCCCCAGCAAAAAACAAGTGAACCTGTAAACCCTTTAGCACCATTTTACCTACCTTTCAGAGAGCCTTTGAGTCAGGAACCCCTATGGTAATCATTTTCTTGAAGGCAGGACTTCTGAAGGGAAAGCTTGAAATGTCAAATGAGGAATCAGACTTTATTAAAAGGATATAGGGATCCATACATTCTGAGTGGAGAAAGAGAGAAGTACAGGAGGCAGACACACCATCTATAAAATTAAGTAAAACAGTATTTTTATAACCAATTTCTGACACTCTTGACTTGGTTACAAGTTTGGTTCAGACAAGTAGTCAGCTGTTTTTTCACAATATATTAATGTGCCATCTCTATTTGTGCATCCATGCTCCCCAACTGTTGTTGTTCTGAATTAATTCTGGGAAAGTGTGCATATCTATGTCCCCTACTGCTCCAGCAGGGGATAGACTACCCAGAGGGGGAGACAGTGGCACTTAGGGTAATGGAGACCCAGAAACTCCGCTTTAGAGGACTAGCGAGTCTTCTACATACATACTATAAGGGGTTCAGTCTACACTACAAAAATGACAATTTTATGTTCTCCAAGGAAGCTAGCAAAGGCAATGCAGTTAGCTACCATGGTGACTGACAGTATTGACTAGATTATAAATTATATTTCATGTCAACTACACCGGGTAAAAATAAAACCCGTGGTAGTGAGTCTCAGATTCTGGGTCAACTGATTCTACCTTGTGCTACAGGACTGAAAATAGCAGTGTAGCTGTTCCAGATTTCAGAGCCCAGGCTGACCTGGAACATCTACACTCTGAATTTCAGGGCCAAAGCATGAGCCTAAGTCAGTTGACTTGGACTCAGGCAGGCTGCTGCTGGGTTGTTGGTTTTTGCCATGTAGATGTACCCTGTGTCATGAACTGGTTATAAAATCATGCTGTGTCTAGGCTAATGGGGTTAGCATGCAGAAGTTTCCTAGGGCTGCAGGTCCAACCCTCCTCATACTGCTGGGAATCGCCATGCAACAAGGCTCCTGTGTTTTAACAAGGTAATTTAAACAGTGTTAAAAATGCTGGCAGTTACATAAGCATTGCCTGCTTTAGGGCTACCGATGGAAATTTTATACTAAAGTCCCTAGTGTTCAGCAAATGTAGTGAGACCACTGAGAAGTCAGCCTCTGCCAACATTGTCATAGTTAAGTCTTGACAGAGTGGGTGAGGTAATATCTTTTATTGGACCAACCTCTGTTGGTGAAAGAGAAGCTTTCAAGCACCACAGACCTCTGTGGACTACCATATCCTGGGACCAACGTGACTACAACAACATAGTTAAGTCTTCAAATTTAAGTGTTCTAAATCCATGTGTAAGCATCTAAGTGGCCTGGTTCTCAGAGGGGCTGAGCATGTGCAGTTCTCATTGCATTGATGTGGGCCATATCTTAACTTCTGTGAAGGGGATGGGTACTCAACCCCTCTGAAAATCTGGCCACTAGTACAGGTGGCATAGTCACCCAAATTAGAAGCCCTGAAGGGTTGAGAAGAGGTATGTGATATTCAATCCTTACATATAACATAGAATAATTTTGTTTAAAAATAAAACTAACACCAATTGGACCATTACAGCAACTTCTATGATTTTTACAATAGAACAACTTTAACCTAAGCAGATAATGTCAGATACAAAGCCTTTCAACCTTAAGTAGCAACTCACAGGAGAGCCAAAGTAGGGACAGCAGCTTTGGGATTTTATAGTAATTCTGCATCTCTCTCTCCATTGCTGTGGTTCGTTCTCTCGAGTCTAACATGTCACATTTGAAATACAGCTCTTGAATTGTTCAAATTTTAATATCCAATGGAAAAATAGGCCTCTCTCTGTCAGTCACGTTCCCTGGCAGAAACAGTAGTTTTCCTATCATCCCCTGTCAACTTGTCCTTCTCTGCATTTGTTGGTACCCATACCCCTTTTGAGAAAGCCTGGTCTCATCACTGAAAAGGCCCTCAGGGGTTATCGCCTATAATTATCTGCTCAGCACATTCTTCTCCCACAAGACTCCAAATTCTTTGTCCCTCATCCCTACTCTCAATCTCTCTATTTTTGTAACCTAATGTTTAGAAAGGAGACCTGCTCATGAGGAGTTGTTCAGATGACAGCAAATTGGTTTTTTTCTCTTACTCTGGCTTAGAGAGATTTGCAAAAAAATTTTAGGATCACATGAGAAATTCAACCACTGTCAGTATTGATTTTTCTTCTTGTTTGGTTTCATTCACTCTCTCATTTTCCTCTGTGCGGATCAGTCTTCTCTGGCTTTGAGATATTCAAAGAGAGAATGAAAATAACTTCCCAGAAGAGACTTACAATGGGTGTAACAAGTTACTTTGTGATATAATCCCACTGTTTAAATGACAGTTGTCTACAGGTACATCTGTGCTGCATAGTTAACCCAGGATCTTAAATTTTAGCCTTAATTTCTACCTATCAGTATCATCCATAAAGAAAACCCTCTGATCTGGGTTTGGAGGACAGACAAAATCACTCAAGTACTGATAGTCCTCCAATATTCTTCTAATGCTCTTCCTCCCCAACTTCCTCCCCAAGGATTGACAAGTTCTTCCATACTTGATCAGTAAAGAACCCTAAAGCATCTGAGAAAAAAGAACAATGGGATATGCCCTGAGATACACACAGGCTTGTGCCGAAACAGTGAGGACCCAGTAACACGGGTAGGGCTTTATTGTGGGAATGCTCAGATCCAGGTGCTAATCACCTTGGTTAACTGTTCAGTTTCAGCATAACTAGTGATCAGAGACTTGGATCTTTGAACTAACGCAATGAATTCATGCAGAGAGAGACCACAATAGCAATACCATTAAACAACATAGTTGAAAGAAAGTGGTAAAAAGGCTGAAGTAACTTCAAGCATTAAAAATATACTAGCCAATGTAGTAATCTACCTTAAAACAGAGGCAGCTATTGCAATTTCAAATGTCCAATCATCTATTTAGACCTCAGGTCCATCAGCCTTTGTCACTCTTGCTTGACCTGATGCATCAGGTCTGCTGCCCACTTTCCATGCTGGGGAATTGGTACTTCCAGTAGTAGCACTTCAGCCATGTCTGAGATTTGGGATACAGTTGTAAGCCCCTGGGAAATGTTTCCCCCTGACTCATTTGGATTAGGACATGACTAAACCAGAGCCCTTTATACTTTGAGGTCACTTAAACTGAGGCTGTTGGCAGCGTTCGCCTACGCTGCTAGATGAAGCTAATGTCTTTGCACAGGCACACCCCACTAGCAAAAATAAAACCATTGATTTTAGAGGGCTGTATGCTGACTAGCACCCGTGTGCCATGTCATAGTGTTCTGCTAACTTGTGCCATCATTGTATTTTGCAAGTCAATGTCACTTCAGTCCTTTACCCTGAAGCTGTGGTAAGCATATGCATAAATCTGTCACAACAGATACTTCTATCAAGGAAACAAATTATCACAGAGAAAGTGTATATGATAAGCTGCTTTGACATGAGATTTAATGTCTCACGGCTTTTAAAATGTTATCACACTATTGCAGCAATCTTTCACCTTGGCTGATGGTGAGGTTTCTCACATTAAATGTTTGGCTTGTGGGGTTATTCTGCTAAACTAAACTAAGCACTTAACTCTCTAATTCATCTTCACTACTTACATTAAAGCAGACCTGCTATTTTAAATGAGTTATACCTCTTTCTCTCCCCCCACTCTCCCCAACAACATTTACAGTCTCTTCTCTATCCAAAAATGGTCAGAGATCCAGAAAAAATGCTTTGGGCACTGAAACAAGTAGAATCTAGGTGGTACCCAAAATGGTTTTCAATCTAAGAAGCGATCGACTTCTGCTCAGCACAAGCTCCAAAAGCTATTTTAATGTGGACACACACAAAGATTGTTGTGTTGATAAAGATGTCTTAGCCACACTTCGGCATTTAAAGTGCCTGTGGACAAAACCCTTAATGAAACATGCAGAAAACCTAGGGAATTGTCAAAAAAAAAAAAAATACACGTGCACAGCCAGCTTAGCCTCAGCAAACAGAATTCTCCTGGGCTCTTTTGCAATGTAGAAGTTCCATTGTTACTACTGTATGCATATGTAGTCCTACTGCAATGCTTATTGGTATATTCATAGTCCTATGCAAATGTTTCTAGTGTTGGTAATTGAACTCTTAAGAATTTTTTCTTTGCAGAGAGAGAGAGAGAGAGAGAGAGAGACACGCACACTATATAGTAATATGAACAAAATGCTACAGACATGCAAATGAGACACTGATAATTTTTTTCTTGTAGGACACCATCAAAACACGTAGACAAAGACCTTGGCAATACAGAGGAAAATAAAAAGCTAGAAGAAAACAATCACAAATCGGAAGCTTAAAAGACAAATGTCAGTCATTCCAGGTAAGCAATGTGAACTGAAAAGCGTAGTACCAGGGTGTCCACCCTTTGGAAAATAGAATCAGAACTGTTTACCTGTGTATCCTATATCCTGTACAGCAAAGGGAGGTTCTCTTTCAGTTCAAGAGCTAGAGAGCCTGTGCTACTGGAATAAGATGATCCAATATTGATCTTTAGTCAACCTAGGACTTCAGAGTTGAGAACTATGGGAAATTATGATGCCTTGTTCTCCCCTTTCAGACTATAAATACTCTTACTAAAGACAATAGGAATTATTTGTATTCTTGTGATTTTGGGGGAGCAAGACCCATGGCAACTATGGATTTTTAATAGAGCATGTGTACACACATTAAAAGAAATGCAAAAGGATTCTGACATTCAGAAATAAATGATCGCATGCATTTGAGCTCATGCACTCAGGGAAATTTAGTTATAAATAATTATATGATGTATACTCAAAAGAGAACATTTAGTTTTGTTCACTATAGATAAAAATTAAAGTTTTTGGTGAGCTCAAAACAATGTACGTTCAAGAGATGAGATAAGTTCTTACAGTAAAACCACATACTATTACTAGCCTCATGCTGGAGGTAGTCATTGTGCCATGACTGTGCAAGAGAAGTGGAGACTTCCCCTCTTCTTTATAAAACAGAAGCTGCAGGAGGACCCACAGAATACAAACAGCAATGAATACAGTGGTGGTACAACAAACCAACAGCATCCTCCAGTGGTCAGATGCAGCCACCACTGCTGCCTCTGTCTTCTTTTAATGTCACAGGCTGGGTCTTACACCGTCTTTCTGAACAGTGATATCATTTAGCACACACATATTGTGGAAGGCCAGGGTAAAGGGGGTAGAAATCAGTTTCCAATGTTCTTTAAATTATGGAAGTAAACAGTCAAAAGATAAGCTTTCATATCAAATTTACTCAGTTTCTAAATTAGTTTTTTTAAATTTGTGTCTCCACTTTTGAGCCTTCAATTTGAGAAACTTTAGAAAGGCCCAGGTTCAGAAAGTGCTGTGCACCTATCCTTTGTCAGCCCTCTTTGAAGTGTCAAGTTGCAAAGCCAAAAATGGAGGGGGACAAAATCATTGGTCACTTGAAAATTTGGTGTAGAGATTGTAAGTTTATTACACCAGGTTTCTTGTTTCAGTAAGATGGGGATAGAAGGGTACTTTAAGGGAAAAATCTAAGATCTTGAAAAAGTCTGGGTCTGAATGTTTGTTATTCATACAGTCTTGCCTCTAAATTTAGCATAAACCACCAGACAACTTTTCTTGCCACAAATACTCGAACGATTCAAAGATCTGAGAGACACAAAGGAAGGGCGATCAGACAGTCCATATAAACCTCTACTACTACTATTGTCAGGAATGTCCCTATTTATTGTGCAATAGTGTTCTAATCATTGATATTGTAATTAAAGTTTATGTTGCAAAAGTCCTCCATAGAGTTTGCTGTGCCAGAGTTCATCATTCAGGTAGGGAGTGTGTGGGGTGGGAGGTTGCTTTCAACTTTGGGGGTGAGAGGGTGGTGGAAGACTCTTGCTCTGCTCTTTTAATTGTGCATACCCTTGAAATTCTGCAGTCCTAGAGTACACTGGTGGGAGGAAAGGAATGTCCAACACCAGGAGGTTGAGCGATGGGAGAAAACTACAAGCAGTCACCCTCTCCTTCCCACTTCCAGCTACTGGTCTCTCCTGCCTTCACCTGCAAATGGCAAGCACCTTCACATCCAACCCCCCCTGGAACTTCCTTGAAAAATCTGCTCTCTCCCCCTCCCTCCCCATGAGTGCCCAGCTGCAAAATTACTCCTACCTACCTTTGCCCTGCTGACAGTCTTAAAGATGCCCTCTCATATTGCAGATATCTGGACCCAAAGTAAAATGGGAAGGAAGAGAGCCCCTCTATGGATTCCTCACAATGCCACAGGGTGGCATTCCACCCTCCATTAAGTGATTGCTTGGGGTTGTATTTTAAGTGATCATTTTGCTGGCTGCAAACATGAGCCCAAAAGATACTGTGGTACTTGGTTAATCTGCTATGGATGTGAAGGCTTTAGAAGAACACAGAATTCTGAGTGTAAGGGATTTAAGGCCTTCAGAGGTGGTGGAGTGGTCCTGTTTCCCTCAGCTTTAGAGAATGTCTAACACTGCAATCAGAAGATACGGTTGCAGCTCCTGCAGGCCTACCTGAGCTAGATCAAATCAAGCTCCGGCTGGAGCCACAGCAGTGGTACAGGTGGCCTCCCCCAGTACAACCCCACTCAGGATCTCGAGCTAGCTTCCATCTAGCTAGATCAGTCATACCTCCTGATTGCAGTGTAGACCTACCCTTAGTGTTAGAAGTTCATCAGGCCTAGACTTTGTGGGAAGAGAGAGGAGAGGGCTCTGGCGAAATGAATTTTGCACAATTGAATTCATTTTGTCCAAGAAGGAAGTTTCTTCATATTCCTTGTAAAAATGTCAAAAAATTAGTCCCTAAACTTAATTTACAAATTTCTGGGAAAATGCTCCCAGCGTCCCTAGCTTCTGTTTGCCAGAAACTGGGAGTGGATGACAAGGGATGGATCATTCGATGATTGCCTGTTCTGTTCATTCCCTCTGAACTACCTGGCATTGACCACTGTTGGAAGATAGGATTGTGGGCTAGATGGGCCATTTGACCCATTATGGCTATTCTTATGTAAAAGGGTGAAATCTGAATCCCTAAAATTTCCACTGCAATTTCACATGGGAAAGACATGGTTCACTTCCTGCCCTAATGTTTTGTGTAATGGTGTTGGACATTGTAGTAGCTGCTACATCCACAGAGGTGACTATGTTAGTGATGAATTAAATTAGCCCTGGGTAGTATATGTGTATTGTTTTGGGTGCCTTCAAATCTGATGTGTTATATAAACATGAGCTTATCATCACTACATTCATGATTTGGAGAATGAATTTGATTCATCAGCAATGGACATATCTTTTTGTGATGTAATTTATAACTTGTTTGTAATATTTTCTGGTAACATTTATTTTGCAGTTAAATAAAGGCTATTAAAACTCCTGTCTAATTATGATAATTTTGCCAGCTACCTAGTTTAACTGACTGTTTTTCACATTTTCAGAGAATACATATAGAAGCATGAACGTGGATTGTATTCAAAACATATACAAAGAAGTGACAGTTATTCATGGTTCAAGTATTGAACAGATCATTCTACCAAGTTTTCAAAGGATTTTAGATGCAATTATCTCAAGTTTAAAAAAAAACTAATTTGGCATCAGCCAAGATAATAGGTCACCATGTTGTGTTCTGTTTGTTTTTGTAAATGTCTGCACTGAAGATTTTTTTGTTTGCCTTTATGTAAATTTTTTACGTAGCTATTTTTATACACTGTAAAGCTTTGTTCTGGGAGTTGCTGTTAATCTGATGTATGGTGTAATATTTTTATTTCAGTTTGTTTTTAGGACACCCTTTGAGCAGGTACATTTCTAATTCTGATTGCTATCCGTAAAACCCCTGCTTTTGTAGAGCAGAGATCTCAAACGTAAGGTTGTGTTATGGGGAATTATTGAAATCACAGTAGAGCGAGATGGAGCCAGGAATGACAAAAGTTCACTAAAGGGTTCATGAAGGTAAGAACAGCCACCTAACTGACCAGAAAAGGGCATAGACAGTTTCCAAGAATAAGCCTGAGAGTCTAGCACAGACTTCACCACAAAATTCTTGTTAGCCTGTGTACAGATTGCTGCTGCTAAACCTTTTCTCCGTGAGTGAATCACAAATGTATTGTTGAAAGCAGTTTGGAAAAAAGTTATTGATTGTCCTCACCGTCTCATGGTAGATAAGAGAGTGACACTGTAATTTTGAATTGATTTGAAGTCCTTTTGGTTATCCACTGCCTTAAAGTACTGTATCTTTTCTTCATTTCAACAAGATAACACTCAGAATTGGATTTTTTTTTTAAAACAGTGGTCATATCAAAGCTGCATTTTTCCACAAAAATAGAATATATATATATTTTTTGTGTGTTTTTGTTAACTCCGCTACAGATATTGAATGCACCTTGAGATAATTTTAGTGTTTTTACCTGGTACATAATTTATCAAACAGTGCATATAATTGTAACAATGAAATGTCTATGTATCTTAAGTTTAACTTTATAAACGTGTTTTATGCTTGAGGAAATTTTTAGAATGATTATGTAAAAGGAAACACTTTTTTGGGTAGATGGCACTTCTGAGTTTTTACTCTTGAACAGAAGTGTAGTTTCTGGGAGAATGTATTAGACAATTCTGATCATGGGAGGAAAATAAGTACATAGAGTAAGCAGAACATCAGGTTTCCATTTTTAAATCTATGATCCAGGGGGAAAGTAAGTTTTTATAGACTGGTAGGCAAAAAAGTTAGTTAAAGAAATGGAAATTAGGAAACATTTTGCCACTTCTACATTATTTAGAAAAAACACTGTTACTTGTAAATTTGTAAAATGTTAAATGTCTGGGCGGTAGTGACTGATGTCTTAATAAAAGCTTCCTGTAGTGCATTGGCATGGATTAAATACATAAAATGTCCTATAAACTCTCTGCTGTATAAAATATTAAGGGGAAAATCCTGTTATTTGCCTCCAAACTTTGATTTGTTAATGTTTTATTTAGCAAAGGGGAAAAAAAAATCTTGGTCAACATTTAAACCAAAGTAAAAGGGTTGGGGGAAAAACCAAAGTTATTTGTTTTGCATGGCTAAGCCATTGTTATCTCTGTAAATACTGTGATTTTTTTCCTTTTTTTTTTTTAGAATTTTGTTAAAAAATTCTAAAATTTTTAGACACCTGTTTTCCAAAATAAAACGTGAACACACAAAAAAGGTACTTTATATACCATTTTTTTTTATTTTGGTGTGAACACTACTGCTAACTGAAATGCAGTGGGAGTGACTAGGAAAAAAAAGTTGTAATGGCTTTAAGTATGTGATGAATGACAGAAGTTTATTGTAATTCTCTATATTTTGAGAAGAAACCTTCAAGACTGATAAGTAGAGGGAATGGGTCAAAAAATATTTACCAATGTCTTGAAAAAAAACAAGGAAGATTTTAAAAAGTAATCACTCAATTTCTACATCCACAATTGTGAAAAAGGAATAAAAACCTCACTTTTTGAAATTCTGCTGCATCTCCCATCCAGTTTTACTCTTCAACCCCAGGAGACAGATTTTTCCCTGTTCAGCCTTCACTTCAGGCATGTTCCAGGAACCACCAGTGCAAAAAAAAAAAAATGAATGTTTCAATCCATGCCTAAAAGATAATAAAACTGAAGTATGAATTCACCTGCCTGTCTGACATTTCAGTTCAAAGGAACAACCCTGATCCTGAGTTCTTAACAGTAAAGTTACATGCGTGCATAATCTCTGACATCAGTGGGGTTCCACACAGGTGCTGGGATCTGCCACACATTGCAGATCAGGACTCAAGAATCAAATCTTATCACATTATGCAGAACATGAGTGCATGTATTTAGTACATGCACATCATTGAGACATCTGGGCACCTTACAAGTCTCCGCATGGTTTACATTTGGCAGGGTGAGGAAATCAGGTTTGGCCTCCAGAAAGAAATGCAATTATGGGCCATGAGGGCCAAAGTCACAGATGGACCACTCCAAATGAATTCATTTGATCTCAGTTGTTGGATTCATACTGTGGGTAATAATCACCTGCTTATATGCTGAATTTCAAGATAAAACATAGAAAGGGAGGGAGAAAGGAACTGTTATCCCCATTTCAACAATGGGGAATTGAGGCAGAGCAAGAGATTAAACTCTGTGCCCAAGGTCATACAGGAAATAGTGGTTTACCACAAAATGAACCCACAGCTCCTAAATCAATCTTATGTTCTCCAGTTCGACTGAATCACAATACAGTGCCATATTGTTCAGTAGGACCAATTCTGCAATCACCACAAATAAAAGAAATTTACAGAGTGGTGGTTAAAAATCTGCCCTTTTGAACAGGGGGGGGATTTCACACAAAAAAACCCTTAGTAGAAAATTATACTAGATTCTGCCCTTTGATTTTTTTTTTAAAGGCTCTAAGGGTGTAGTATATCTATGGTGTAATGCTTGCTTGTGCCCATCTCTGGGTATTCATTTCACCCTCTGTGTATCTGTCCTAACCCCCAGGCTTTGTTTGGGCTTTATAATCCAACATGAGCTTCCTAGTCATTTATCTATCAGACACAACACAGAGCTACAATCTATAGCAACCAAGGCTGCTATTAGATAAGGAATAAATTTTCAGCTGAAACAGCAGGGGCCCACGTAACCAATACATGCACATGTAGGAAATACAAATAAAATTATCTATTCCCCATTTTTTGTGGCGTATCTTGTTTCCTGACATACTACAGTGACAAAAGCACAGCCCCAATATTACCCTTTACTTACCCAGTATTGTGTTGTGTCTTCTTGGACAGGAAGTGTCTCTTCTACTGCGTTTTGAAACAATTACATAAAATGAATATAGTGTGTTTGTAGTGGCAATTAGTGTTTAAAACTATATTGTGGTTGTTAATTTAACATTATGAAATATTAAAATCCTTATAATGTATGCAGTATAGATAAGAAATTATATGAATGAGTGTCATTCATTCATTAGTCTTAGCCCAAATTTCCTCCAGGAAGTGTCACAAATCAACTTAATATCCCCAGTTCCTGGCTGATACAAGTATATAAGAGATTTAAGCGTAACACCACCCCATGAAGCCAGATAACTTCCTGTTAGCTAACATTTAAGAGGTTGCATGTCTAATTATTCTAGCTGAGGTTATCAGTGATACACATGGAATACCTTGTTTCAGCCAGTGTCACAGAATGGTTTTCGGAGTTTGGTGCAAACCATCAACATCAAACCTGGGACTTTGCAGTTTCCTGGATCTGCAAATCAGCTGATGTTACAAGAAAGCCAGACACATCCTTGCACACGGATGTAAAGGCTGCTGATGCATAACTTGTTCCAGCTTGCTAACGTACATGATGGGCAGCTAAGAGCAGAATATAAGCTCACCTTTTCAGTCTAAATATGTGCTTTTATTATTCTGTTGCGTAGACTTGAGGACTCCCACGCTCTTTTATAACAGCAAAAGATTAAGACCCAGATCCTCAACTGGTGTAAATCAACACAGGACCAGTGTGGAATTGTGCTGACTTAGAGTAGCCATCCCCTAGATTATAGCCACAGACATGCAGTCCACCCACTGTGATATGGGAAGTAGAGAGAGAGGAAGCTCATTCCGCTGGTGTATACTCAATGCAGATCACAGGACAGTACTGCCCAGGTTTCCTGCAAAGCAGTACTCAGGAGCTTTTTAGGAGGCAGGGGACAGGTAGGAAAAGAAGATACAGTTCCACTGGTGATTTACTACCCAGAAAAGAGATATACAGAAGGGTGCAGAGCACTGCAAAGAAGATGCAGGATGCTTCACAGCCTGAAGGAAAGAAAAGTCCCAGCACACGACCCACTTAGTGTGACATACCAGGGTACAATCCAGACCTTTGAGTAGCTGTGTCACCTCTGCCTTGTGACCTGGGGATGCCCTTTGTGTTGCCTTGCTTCTGTAGCCTCCAGCATGTAAGTCACTCCCAGCTATGTCTGTGTGTGCTGCAGCCAGCTAGCCAGCCACTATCTTGGCTCTTACTAGCCTTAAAAATTACCACAGGGTGACCCCAATTCACTCCCAGATTTCCCACCAGAAACTGTGTCCTGTACTGCCCAGCCCTCTCCTGGACAGCACAGATCTATTGAGTCTGTTATTCCTTTAAGGGAATACTATGCACAAAACTTGCTATCCCAAATAGGGTTACCTGGACAATTCAACTTGAACACACTGGATGAGATAAAACAGTAAAACAAGTTTATTAACTAAAAAGGGAGATGTTAAGTGAGTATAAGTATAAGTAAGAGGCATAAAAGTCAGAAATGGATACAAGAAAAATAAAGATAAAATGCTTACTACTCTTAACCTTAATAAAAACTAAGATTCAAAGAAAAGTTCTCTCACCACATGCTCTCAGCAGTCTTACTGACCAAACCCTTTAGATCAGGACCTGGCCCCCAAACTCCAATGGCTGTTTCCTTTGTCTCTTCAGGTGCAGTGAATGTGATGGGCAGGGCGAGAGAGAGGGGTCCATTGAGGTATTTGCCGCTTCTTTTTATAGTCCTGTCCCCCTTTGAGAAGCATTTTCAGCTGGGAGCAAAGTGGTGAGCAGACTATGTGAAAGGAAACTGTTTCTTTAGTAAGATGTAGATTTTTTTGCCCATGCCTCCTTTCCTGTCAAAGAATGGTCACTTACCTGGTAATTGTCCATCAGCTGAGGCATCAATTTGCCCTTTGTCTCTGAGAAACTGGTCTGACCACTCCCCAAACTTACCTGGAAAAAAACATTTTAGTCATGATTTCAGCTTATGTTTATAACTTCACATATGCTGCTGCTATATGTATTTTGCCATATTATTGATCAGCATATTATGAGTTTTTAAATGATACCTCAGAAAGCCTGTTTGCAAAGTGTGAATGAATATACCCATGTCCACACCCTACAAGCTATTGTAGTAATGTTTGTACAAGACATGTCAAGGATAAGATTTGATCCTAACTATTGTGATAGACCCAGGCCAGTTGGGCACAGCAGAGTAATCCTGTTGGGATCCAAAGTGGGCGGGCCGCTTCACCCGCCCACTACTAAAGGACCTCCCCCAGGGGAGGATCCACAGGTCTGGTATTCCAAATAATTGTGGGGGACAACTAATGAGAGAACGGGAGTGAGGTCAGAGGGCTAAACGAAGGGAACCTGATGGGGACACCGAGCAGAGAACCCCGGACAGAGCCCACTGCTCCTTGAAGGTGTCAAGGGAGCCAGCGGACGCCGCCCAGAGGAACTCTGCCCAGATGCATGAATAGACTGAGGAGCGGAAATAGTCCCAACTGTCTCAGGAAACCCTGTCAGCCAGCTTCCTCTCCCTGGTTTTGTAGATGGCCATTTTGGCCAGGGCTAGGAGGAGGCTGACAAGGAGGTCCTGCAACTTTGTGGGGCCATGGATGGGGAGTGCGTAGATGAACAGGTGAGGGGAAAAGTGCAACCAAAAATGTAATAGTATCTCCAAGAGAAGCTGGAATAGGGGCTGCAACCTGGTGCACTCCAGGTACATGTGCGCCAGAATCTCCCTCATGCTGCAAAAGGGGCAGGTGTCTGGGAGGGGAGTGAACCGCTCCAAGTACGCACCCATGCTCACAGCTCTGTGAAGGATTCGCCAGCTGACATCCCCGGTGGGCCTCAGGACCAGGGTGAAATATAGGCTGGCCCACTGGGGCTCTTCACCCTCCAGAGGTGGCAAGAGGTCCTGCCACTTTGTGCCAGGGCGAGATGCAAGGGTGAGGACATGAAAAGTGTGGAGCATGAGCATGTACAGATGTTTTCTTGGTGTGGTCCGTAACTGAACCAGCTGCAAGTCATGGGGTGGAGGGTGGGCGGGGCGTGCCCTCTCACAGGACCCAGTCGAGGAAGACCCGTGCAGTGGGCGCTAAAGTGGCCCTCACCTCCTGAAATATGCACCAGGGAGTACAAGGCCTGGAGAGCCCCATGCGCCAAGTGAGCATCAGGGGATCCAGCCAGTCTCCCTGGTTGTAGTCCAGGAGGTCTCCAACTCCGGTGACTGCTGCCAGGACCAACCTCCGGCGCACTGAGGGGGACTCTACCACCTGCACTGGGAGCTGGGGGTTGTGTTGCAGGGGCTCCGCAAGAAGATCTGCCCCCTCAGCAGCCGCCAAGTTTCCAGGTTCAGAGGAGGTCCTGGTAGAAGACCAACAGCCTGGAGAGGTCTCACGGAAGACCTCTCAGATGGAGATAAAGGAGTCGCTGGTTGTATTGGAGCCAGAGGTGAAAGTAAGCCGGTACGGCGTACTGGTAAGAGCCGGTGCACGTACCAGGACTGGCTTCTGAGAGGGCAATTTAAAGCCTTGGGGTAGTGGCAGCAGGGCAGCAGCAGGGATTTAAAAGGGCCCCGGAGCTCCAGCCGCTGCTACTACCTGGGGGCCCTTTAAATCCCTGCCTGAGCCCTGCTGCCTGAGCCCTGGGGTAGGGGTGGGGGGGCTCCGGTGGGCATTTAAAGGGCCGGGGCGGTAGCGGCGGCTGGAGCCCCGAGGCCCTTTAAATCCCCGATGGAGCCCCGCTGCCGCGACCCCAGGGCTCGGGCAGCAGGGCTCAGGCAGGGATTTAAAGGGCTCAGGGCTCCAGCAGCTGCTACCACAGCAGAGCCCCAGACCCTTTAAAGCT